GAAGCATGGAAATTGAATACTTCGGTTAACTATATCTGATACATCACGCACATTTTAACGTTTTCTAAAAATCATCTCATGTAAAGTGAAGGAAGTCCAAACCAGGCTCGTCGCAATATTCATATCATATTTACTTTGGCTCGATACAAAATGGACAATACTGGCCCATTCCTACGGAACCTACCCAATAGAGTGTCAAACATTTGAATAATCATAACAGAAGTCAAAATATATTTAAATAATCGAACATTGGCTGGGGTATACATCTGCCCGCAACACCGACCGATAATTTTTGAGTAGTTTTTATTTAAATCCACGAATCATCTGCACACTTGGACGACTTTTCTCAATGTTTGGCAACTCTTAAACGACATGAAATAGGCAGAATTCCATCGAGGACTTTAACGACTATCAAACACACATACACAAACACGCGAAACTTCAATACGACACTTGAAATCCTGTTGATTATTAGAGAAAGAAAACTAGCGAACGAGGTATTCAAAAATGCCGGATTAGATACCTATTGCGATTGGAGAGTCATAAAAAAATCTGTTTAAGAAAACAGTTTCCTACTTCTCCACGAAGTTCAGCAGAGGTATTGTAACAGAACACATAATGGTTGATTTGTATGTAACTCCAATGTAACTTTAGTAAAACTCACAATTGATGCTGCTGTAGATTGTTAAAGAACTTTTTTATTTTTTGTTGATTCACAAAAATCTAAACCGTTTCGATTTTCACTTGAAAAGGCACTGTGGAATGCTTCGAATAAACCAGCAACAAAAATGACACAACAAAACAGGTTATTGGATTTACTTTTGAACTCTTTTTTTTTCAAAAAATTTCGCTTGGTTTGCTGTTGTTGTTGCTTCTATTAACTTTATTTATCACTGAAAGGAGAATGGATTCACAATTGAATTTCCTTTTGAATGATTTTTTTTATTCTTGTTTTCGTTTGCACACGCACAACAAAAGCACAGAAGAACCACGTGAATCAATGGATTTTGAAAGGTACCCGTTGTTAACTTGAATGCAATTTCCAATTCTTTTATTTTATCATTCAGAAATAAAACAAAACAAAAGAATAATCGTAACAAACAAATAGCGAACGAAACAAAAATAATAACAAATAAAACAATCGTGTTTTAATTGAGAAATCGACAAGAACACCGAGAATGCCTTGCTGTGAGCTGAGTAGTTTGCCGGTCGGTCGTATTGCTTCCGTGTGACTGAAGTCAAATTGCAGAGAAAGAAACAAAAATCGTAAAATCAAACCATACACACTCGCTGTCGACGTCAACAGCGATGCCGGCGACGGCAACGACGACGACACTGTTATAAACAACAGAAACACCATCAACAAAACCAGTCGGCCCCAATCCAGCCACACACATCGTGTCTCTGTAACAGAGCTAACGTCGTTGTCGTTGCCGACGACGATAACACCACCATAGTCGTTGTCGTCATCGTCAGCACCACATTCTCCACACGCAAACCGGTGTTTGTTTTGATTTGTTGTTTTGGGAGCCCCCCAGTTAACCCATTTCATGCGCCCACCAAAACAAAAAGAGAGTCATTTCTACCTACAACAATACTCTGGTTGTTGTACTACGACGATAAGAGCGGAGCCAAAAGACAATAATGGATGGATGGACATTTCAAAAAGAGATTGTCATGTTATGTATGGATGTATGTATGCGTGTATAAACATACATATCCTCAAACAGCATAAAAACAATTCTACTATTCAATGGCTACATGTGAGCACATGAATCATTATGCTGGAATATGGAAAAAGGACGGCTATTAAGAAATGAAACAAGTCGGAGATTTTTTAAAAAAAAATATTATAATGCTCAGTATTTAAAGAAATTTAAAAAATATAAAAAGTCTTATATTAGGAAAGTTTTGTTTGTTTTAAGAGAGAGGCGTAATGAGAGTGGAAATGGAAAAAATATTGTTCGAGCTGACAAATTTTTGGCAATTCCTTTTGTGTTTTCTACTTTTATACAAAAATATAATTAAGAACAAGTTAAAAAGTATCAGTCGATTTTAGTATGGAAGGTATATTAAGTTTGTCATTCCCTTTGTAACACCACGAAATATACATTTTAGACCCCACAAAGTAAATATTCATCATCGGCATAAAATTCTATGTCGATTTAGCGATGTCTGTCCGTCTGTGGAAATCACTCTAGCTTCCGAGCCAATTGAAGTATGTTAATAAAATTTTAATCAGATGTGTGTTTGTCTTCATGACATTTAGTATTGAAAATGAGCTATATAGGTCCACGTTTTGGTATAGTCCCCATATAACAGTACTTATTTTCAGTATTTTGATTTTGACATTATTCACCAAAATTATTTCATTTTTCGTATTCGTAGTTTGCTGTTGGGGCTACTGTCTTAGACTGAAAATTTAATATGCGGGTCTACGATTTCGTATAGCACCTATGTAACGATACCTCCCAATATTCAGTAGTTTGACGTTTTTGCGATATTATTCACCGGATTTTTTCTAGTTTCCCCTTTGTATTGTAATGGACTATGACAAAACTTGCCTGTGCAGATCCACTTTTTCTTATAGACTCCCATTTTACGGTACTCCCTATATTCAGTATTTTTATTAATGTTAATTATTGTTAATATTATTTTTAATAGCATTTTTTAATGTATTTTTTAATATCCAAATTCCTTCCAAATGGTGGAGGGTATTCAAAGATCGGCCCGGTCGAACTTACTGCTTTTTTACTTATCATACTTCATCTAATACACATAAAATATTTGTATGGGTAAAATTACAAGAAAATCGAACATTTATATCCAATGTTGGTACGTTTCTGGTTGATAGAAAAATTTAGATACAGAAATTTGTAAAAAATCGCTGACTTGTTTTGCAAGTTAAGACAGATTAAAGTATTGAAAATTGTGACCCTTTGTTGGTGAGGTACCAGAAGGGGTTCGCAGATATACAGGGTGAAATAAAAAAATGCAACAAAGTCAAACGCCATGATTTTTACATTTTTTTTTAATTTTATTGGATGAAAGCAAAAATATCGGAAATAACATCAGATTTTAGAATAAGTTTAGATTTGTTCGAATTGGTCACCTTTGGCACGATTTAGGGCCTTCAAACGGCCAATGAAACCGTCACAAGCTGCTCGAATGTTGGTCTGCGGTATTTTGGCCCATTCCCGGCGAAGCGCTTGCTTGAGGTGATCGACACTTTGGTATTATGCTTTCCTTGCTCAACCTTGCTTTCCAAACCACTCCAGACACAATAGTCCAACGGATTGGTATTGGGAGATTTTGGTAGCCATTGTGCGCTGGAAATGCAGCGAGGAACCTCATTCTGTAACCTTTTTTTGGGTGGCGCGTGCAGAGTGCAATGGTGCCGAGTCTTGTTGGAAGGTCCAAGGTCTGCGGCCAAAATGTTTGCTTGCCCAAAGCTTTAATACATCCTCCAGAATATTTCCGCGATAATATTCGGCATTTATTCTGATGCCACGGTCGATTTATACGAACCGAGAGCGATCACCGGTTGTTATGGCAGCCCACACCATCACCATGGCCCGCGCTTGAGTTCTGGTGGCCAACCAAAGGTGCACATTTTCAGTTGACCTCTTTGGCAAACACGACCGTTTTGTTGCTAAAAACTGCTGGACAACGAATGTTTTCTCATAGGAGAAAACCAAATTCGGCATTTCACCACTTTCTGCCAAGCGAAGCAACTCTTTAGATCTTTTGAGTATATTTTCTTTCTGTTGTGGTGTAAGTTCTTGCACTTTTTGGAATTTCAATGGCTTTACACCAAGCTAATTTTTCAATATTTTCCGAATGGAATATTGCGATATGTTCAGCTCACGAGCCATTTTTAGGCCGCTGCGACGCGGGTTTCGATCAAGTCGCTTTATTACTTTTCGAATCATTTCTGCTGATATTGCTGTTTTCTTCCGTCCACTTCCTTGACGTCGGGCTACGCTACCAGTGTCACGGCAACGAGCGATGACACGAGACACAAACGATTTATTCACATTTAAATGCGGGAGTACCCTAACGATAGCCACTTGTGGTTTTCCAGCCAAATATAAAGAAATCACACTATCACGCTTGAATTCGTACGAGTGGCTTAGGAATGACAGCAGTCTGAAGTTGGTTGCAGTTTTTTTTATCTCATCCTGTATATCATCTTCACAACAGATCTTATGTTAGCAAAATGTGTATGTGTATGTGTATGTGTAAAATTTGTAAGAGAGTTGGATGCTTATTTTGTTTTCTTGGAGTGTTTTGTTTCTTGAACCATATCCCCCACCACCTTTTTAACAGATCTTATGTTGATGAAAATATTGAGATGTGCCAGGTCTGAATGGAATCGGATGTCAATTTCCCGTTTTATGAGCTTCGTGGATATTCCAAATTTTGATCCTTTGTGGGGGGCTACTAGAAGAAGTGGACCGACCTATTCCATATTTACACCAGACCTTGAGTTAATTAAAATATTGTGATGAGTGTAATTTGAAGAAAGTCGGACATTTACATCACATTTTATAAGAGTTATAATTATTCAAAATTTTGAGCCATTGTGGAGCAGGTACTTGATGAAGTGAACCGATATTGTCCAATTTCCCACCAAACCTAGCGCTGATGCAAATATAGGATTTGCAAAGTTGAATATTTTTTTTTTTTTAAATTTCGACATTTTTATGGGGGAGGTCCCAGAAGGCCGATGTGAAAGTAATTTCCTTGTATAAATGCAAGAGGCATGTTCAAAGAGAGCGAAAATAATTGCCGTTCCTTTAAATTCCACAGTACTTAGTATTGATTCAGTGTTTATACCATACACCACATAGTGGTAAGGATGTCTTTGTGCATTTGTTTGTAAAATGGAGAAGGAAGCGAGATAGACCCATAGTTAGTTTTGAGGATCTTCATAGAATCACTTCCATTTTTTTAAATTCAATATTATAATGAAAATAAAAATACTTCTATCTGCTTAGCATCAACTGTATTATTTATTTAAATTTCTTAATTTAACACACATTTCCGTCACTTCACGACGTATTATTTTGCCAGATGGCGTTAGCGGCAGACTTTCGCAGAAGTAAACGCCGCCATGCAAATGTTCGAAATGCAGCATTCTATCTGCCACATATTGGCAAACAAACGATGCAGTCATACTGGATCCATGTCGTTTAATTATTGCTGCTGCTGGCAAATAGTCAAAGGTAATGTCAGGTATGCCGACCACACACACCTCAGCCACCTCCGGAATTTCCGCAATGACCTTCTCAATGCTGCTGGGTGAAAAATGATAATTATTATATTTCATAATGTCCTGACGACGATCGACAATGAAGAGTTGTCCTTCATCGTTGAAGTAACCCATGTCACCACTCCGCACCCAACCATCACCGACGAACGTCAGGCGATTACCTTCTGGATTACCGTAGTATCCGGAACTTGAAAATTTGGTACGTATGTAGATTTCTCCCGTTTCATTTGGGCCCAAATGTTCGCCTCGATCATCTAGTATTTTTATTTCGGAATTCGTTAGGAGAACACCCACCGTATTTGAGGGATCAATCAGGGTTCTTGTGACAGCTCCACACACTTCGGTCATGCCATATAAAATTGGGAAACGACAATTTGGAGTATATGCTTTGAATTTGGCGATCAGAGAGTAGGGAAGACTTTTGCCAGTGGCCAGAAGAACCCGTAGGCTGGATAAATCACTGGCTGCCAATGCCTGTGGAGAGGCCAAACAGAGAGGAATGTGGGATGGAGAGCTTGCCACAATTGTTATTTTGTGATGCTTTACGATGTCATAGAAATCTCGCGGCGAAAATGGATTTTCCGATATAACACGCGTCTCACAATGCACCGCCGCTTGAACTAAAGTTCCAATTCCCACAAACCAATACAGGCCGCTAAAGACCAAAAGCCTTTGCCCTCCTCCTTGATTTTGACTGAAAATTAAGAGAGATCGGTTAATTGGAATAAATGTTGAAAAGTCAAATAAAAACGAACATACGGCACAACTCGATTTAGAAGAGCATAATGTGAAATGCGCACAACCTTGGGCAAGTCCGTGGATCCGGAAGTACAAAGGTAGAATGCATCCTGATAACCGCCATGCTTTAGGGATGGTATTCTACAAAACAAATAAAAAAAAATAAAAATAAATAAAATAATTTTTAAGTGTTTGTTTTCTCTTTCGAGACGAGCTTAATGATCTGAAATTTGCAGTGAAAAGGAAAGCCAGATAGACACTATCATACACTCACCACTATGCGACGCGTTTCGCCGTTGGTTAAGCGGCTCGTCAGGCATATTTGATGTGGATGATGGCTTACAAGGGCCGTTCTCTGGAAAGTAGTATATATTTCGAACTTATTGCAAATTAGCATATGCGAATTATACACTAGAAACTCTCCAGGTTCGACTCAAGTTCTATTGGCAGATCTTTTTCACAGCAACGTTTTGTTTTTGTAGTGATGGATTGCTGTGAAAAAGATCTGCCAATAGAACTTGAGTCGAACCTGGAGAGTTTCTAGTGTATAATTCGCATATGCTAATTTGCAATAAGTTCGAAATATATACTACTTTCCAGAGAACGGCCCTTGTAAGCCATCATCCACATCAAATATGCCTGACGAGCCGCTTAACCAACGGCGAAACGCGTCGCATAGTGGTGAGTGTATGATAGTGTCTATCTGGCTTTCCTTTTCACTGCAAATTTCAGATCATTAAGCTCGTCTCGAAAGAGAAAACAAACACTTAAATCATAAAACATATGATCTTCGCCTTAACAAGGCAAAACTCAAAAATTCAGCCGAGCCTGGCTGTGGGATTTGAACCGCGGACCTCTGTGTGCAGCCAACTAGAAGTTGCCGTCTCTACGTTCAGAGCCATTAACCCGTCTTCCTAAAGCAGCACTAAAACAAGTGTATGCATTGGAAGCAATGTAGTTGTTGTGGACAAAAAATCCATCACTACAAAAACAAAACGTTGCTGTGAAAAAGATCTGCCAATAGAACTTGAGTCGAACCTGGAGAGTTTCTAGTGTATAATTCGCATATGCTAATTTGCAATAAGTTCGAAATATATACTACTTTCCAGAGAACGGCCCTTGTAAGCCATCATCCACATCAAATATGCCTGACGAGCCGCTTAACCAACGGCGAAACGCGTCGCATAGTGGTGAGTGTATGATAGTGTCTATCTGGCTTTCCTTTTCACTGCAAATTTCAGATCATTAAGCTCGTCTCGAAAGAGAAAACAAACACTTAAATCATAAAACATATGATCTTCGCCTTAACAAGGCAAAACTCAAAATAATTTTTAGTTAGGCATAAAATCAAGGTAGGCCATAAAATCGACATGAATACAAAAGATCTGCCTGGTAATCCAAGAATTGATGAATAAAAGGAAAACAGAGCATATTATTGCTAGGGTCCAATTGATTGTACACAAACCAATCAACTACACTAGCATGCACTTCATTAGCGACAGTGCAATTTGTTTTTGTTTTTCGTTTGCAGCTGTGGATCTAAAATAGTACTCCACAACAGTAGAATCTGCTCCATTTCGAGTAGTTTTTACTCTCATTCGCAAACGAGCCAAACATACTCGCACTTATACAGTGTTTTTCATACCCTCCACATACATAGTATGGCATTCCGTTTGTAGCTTATCGAAATAATCGTTTTAGACCCAACTAAGCATATATATTCTTGATCAGCGTAACATTTTAAGTCCATTTAGACATGTCCGTCCGTCCACCTGTTTCAATCACGCTAAGGTCTAAACGGCATGTGATGGGGAGCTAAATTTTTAAATAGAGTTGTCTTCTATCAGGTCAAGATCGAAGAAGAGTTATATCGGTCAGCGTCTTCGTATAGGCCCCATATAATGGTACCTCCCCATATTCGGTATTTTGTCGATTTTAGTCACACGTTTTAAGGTAACAGTTTATTTAGTGTTTATATTGGCAGAACTTTGTGTTTATAGAACCAGTTTTTCGTATAGGCCCCATATAATTTTACCTCCCGACATTCCGATTTTGAAGATTTTGTCATATTTTCAAAAGGAATAATTTAAAATTTGATATTTAGAGTTTGCATTGAGATCTACCTCCTGTGTCATGATACTGTTCATAAAGGTACCTCTCGAAATTCGATATTTTGACGATTTTAGTCACACTTTCTGGCGATTGTAGGCAGTTTTTTTATAGAATGTTTCTAATAACGGAAATTTCAACATTCACAATCTTATTTTACAGGGTGAGATAAAAAAAAACTGCAACAAAGTCAAACGCCATAATTTTTACATTTTTTTAAGTTTATTGAATGGATGCAAAAAAATGACGGAAATAACATCAAATTTTAGAATAAGTTTAGATTTGTTCGAATTGGTCACTTTTGGTATTCAAACGGCCAATAGAACCATCACACGCTGTCCAAATTTTGCCCTACGGTATTTTGACCCATTCCCGCCGAAGCGCTTGCTTGAAGTGATCGGCACTTTGGTATTTTTAGTGCCAACCATGCTTTCCAAAATACTCCAAACACAATAATTCAACGGATTGGTATTCGGAGATTTTGGTGGCCACTGTGCGCTAGAAATGAAGCGAGGAACCACATTTTGTAACCATTCTTGAATGGTGATGCTGGGTGAGATGAAAAAACTGCAACCAACTGCTGTCATTTCCAAGCCACTCGTCCGATAGCTGTTAAAATTATTCCAGTGACATTATTAGATATTGTTTACAAGCGTACAAAAGCATTTTGGTGAGAATTTTCCAGAAAAAAAGTTATTCGTGATGGAATTCAAGCGTGATAGTGACATTTCTTTATATTTGGCTGGAAAACCACAAGTGGCTATCGTTAGAGCACTCCAGCATTTAAATGTGAATAAATCTGTTGTGCCTCGTACCATCGCCCGTTACCGTGATACTGGTAGCTTAGCCTGACGTCAAGGAAGTGGGCGGAAGAAAACAGCAACATCAGCAGAAATGGTTCGAAAAGTAAAGAAGCGACTTGATCGAGACCCGCGTTGCAGTGGCCGAAAAATGGCTCGTGCGCTGAACATATCGCGATATTCCATTCGCAAATATTGAAAATGAGCTCGGGGTAAAGCCATTGGAATTCCAAAAAGTGCAAGAACTTACACCGCAACAGAATGAAAATAGACTCAAAAGAGTTAAAGGATTGCTTCGCTTGGCAGAAAATGGTTGGTTTCCTCTGCTGAGAAAACATTCGTTGTCCAGCAGTCTGTAAACAAACAAAATGATCGTGTTTACTTGCCAAGGAGGTCAACTGAAAATGTGCACCTTCGGTTGGCCACCAGAACTCAAGCGCCGGCCATGGTGATGGTGTGGGCCGCCATAACAGCCGATGGTCGCTCCCTGCTCGTATAAATCGATCGTGGCATCAGAATAAATGCGGAATATTATCGCGAAAATATTCTGGAGGGTGTATTTAAGCCTTGGACACGCAAACATTTTGACCGCAGACCTTGGACATTCCAACAGGACTCAGTACGAGCCACCCCAGAATAGTTAGAAATTAAGGTTCCCCGCTTCATTTCGAGCACACAATGGCCACCAAAATCTCCGGATACCAAACCGTTGGAATATTGTGTCTGGAGTATTTTGGAAAGCAAGGTTGACACTTAAATATACCAAATTGTTGATCACCTCAAGCAAGTGCTTCGCCGGGAATGGGCCAAAATACCGCAGAGCAACATTCGGGTAGCGTGTGACGGTTTCATTGGCCGTTTGAAGGCCATAATTCGTGCCAATAGATGACCATTTCGAACAAATCTAAACTTATTCTATAATTTGATGCTAATTTAATTAATAAAATTTAAAAAAATGTAAAAATTATGGTGTTCTTTGTTTAAATCTTTGGTACCCCTTTCCGATTTCAGTTTGAAGCTACTCTTCTTACTACACACACCCTACATACCTGAACTCCTCATCAGTGTTTGTTTCATCGAAAAACTCCAAAATGCTTGGAACACCGTCTCTATGATTCCGCACCGTATAGATGTGTGTCTCTTGAAGGCCGCACTGCAATAAGGCTTCGCGTATCTTATCGTAGATATCACCATCACAAAACATAACTTTTGGTCTGGTCAGAGAATAAATGTGTTCCAAACCCTTAACGTTGAAACTGGGATCTGTGGTACTGAGACAGAGACCAGAGAACATGGTACCAAAGAACAGAGGTGCTATATAATCACTATTACCCGCACAGATGCCGACCACATCAGTTTGTTGCAATTCAAGTTTTCCGAAGTGAACTGCCACTCTACGTGACAACTCGGCCATTTCCCCGTTCGTAATCTGTCGCCCACTTTGATGGCATATCTGAATGAAGGGAATATAAATTTACACAACAATATTCCCGTTTTTATTTCATCCTTCTTCCGTACCTGCATTATATGATCAGGATTTCTATGCATAGCCTCCCTTGTTACGGCACCAATCGAATCATCCAAACCAAAGTGTGGTTCTTCCACAGGACCATACCAGATTTTGGTTTCTTTATTGAAATAGGTTTTGTCCGCTTCCATGACAGAGCTGTTTATGGTCTCGCTTGCGTTGAAATACTAATTTATTATTTAATTTGAACTGCAAACCTCTCCTACCGAATCGAAATAAATGATAAGATCTTTTAGATTGTATTGCTCATGAGGTTTACAATTGCAGGCTATCCACCCCAGATAATTAAATGGAATAAAACGATAATTGCCAAATCTTAAGCCAAACAAGTTCGACAAAGCCAAAATATTATTCACACGCTGGAGAAATAACAAGCAATCTCTCCAGTGGAGAATACGTTTATTGTGCCAAAAAAAACCCACCTAAGTGGAAAATGCGGGGAAAGGATTCTTATTCTTCTTAAATTTCTCATTTAAATAAATGTTTACGAATTTGTGTAAAGTAAATCACACCAACTGTCGTTACGGTCGTTATGGAACTCGCTGTAGAATTGATGAACTTTGAAATCGGATGAAACTTATAGATGTATCTTACCTTATATTCACAATTTACAGATTTAGTAAACCTAGTGGATTTAAGTCGTCAATGCTCCATAAAGGGGGTTAGTAAGTTCTATATACCATTAGTTTCAATCAATATCCACCAAATTAGACCTCTAGTACCTAATATCATAGCTATATAGTGCATAATATGACTTTGAGAAGGCTTAAATGTAAAATCGAACCTATGTCATTGTTTAGATCGATTGGTTGCAAATTTTGCACTCGTAATTCTAGGCGGACCATCGTCGTGAGAAACAAAATTGAACCAATTGCTCAAATGTAGAATGACTTATGCATCATTTACATCAGATTTGGGTGACATATACACGACCTTTTTATACCCTCAGCCATATGGCTACAGAGAATATTCAGGGTAAGATAAAAAAGTCAAACGCCATAATTTTTCCATTTTTTTAAATTTTATTGAATGAAAGCAAAACAGTATCAAATTTTAGAATAAGTTTAGATTTGTTCGAATTGTGGACCTTTGGCACGAATAATGGCCTTCAAACGGAAAATGAAACGTCACACGCTGCCCGAATGTTGCTCTGCGGTATTTTGGTCCATTCTCAGCGAAGCTCTTGCTTGAGTGATCGGCACTTTGGTATTTTTTAGTACCAACCTTGCTTTCCAAAATACTCCAGCCACAATAGTGTCCGAAGATTTTGGTGGCCATTGTGCGCTGGAAATGAAGCGAGGAACCTCATTTTGTAACCATTCTTGGGCGGGCGGAGAGCAATGGTGCTGAGTCCTGTTGGAATGTCCAAGGTATGCGGCCAAAATGTTTGCGTGCCTAAGGCTTTAATACACCCTCCAGAGTATTTTTGAGTTAATATTCGGCATTTATTCTGATGCCACGGTCGATTAATACGAGCGGATAGCGACCATCTGCTGTTATGGCGGCCCACACCATCACCATGGCCGGCGCTGGACTTCTGGTGGCCAACCGAAGGTGCACATTTTCAGCTGACCAGTTCCATAACGACTACAGTTTGTTTACAAACTGCTGGACAACGAACGTTTCCCATCGGAGAAAACCAAATTCGGCAGTTAACCACTTTCGGCCAAGCGAAGCAACTCTTTAGCTCTTTTGAGTCTATTGTCTTTCTGTTGCGGTGTAAGTTCTTGCTCTTTTTGGAATTTCAATGGCTTTACCCCGAGCTCAGTTTTCAATATTTGACGAATGGAATATTACGATATGTTCAGCTCACAAGCCATTTTTCAGCCTCTGCGACGCGGTTTTCGATCAAGTCGCTTCTTTAATTTTTGAACCATTTCTGCTGATGTTGCTGTTTTCTTCCGTCCACATTCTTCACGTCGGGCTACGCTACCAGTATCACGGTAACGAGCAATGGTACGAGACAAAAAAGATTTATTCAGATTTAAATGCTGGAGTGATCTAACTATAGCCATTGGTCACGCATGAATTCCATCACGAATAACTTTTTTCTGGAAAATTCTCAGCAAAATACGCTTGTAAACAATATAATGAGCTGTCACTGGAATAATTTTAGCAGCTATCGGACGAGTGGCTTAGAAATGACAGCAGTCTGAAGTTGGTTGCAGTTTTATCATCTCATCCTGTATATCATTTGATACGACCAAAATGGTCCTCAGCGAAATAACGGTTTTAGACCCTAGGCCTCTTTGTACCAAATCCGTTTCAGGATATTTGGAGTCGATCTAGAAATATACGTCCGTCTAGCAGGCTGCTGCGCACGATAATTCTCTAATATTATTATCAAACATGGATCGAGTTCGGAGATAAGCAATATCAGTCCACTTCTTCTGGTACCTCGCCCATAAAAGGTCACAATTTTCAAAAACAGATATTTTACTGCACAGAAAGAGAACCTAAAATCCGATTTACTCCAACTTTGCATCACATTTGCTAGGTCAGGTGAGAAAATGGGTAATACCGGTTCACTCAATCAAGTACCTCCTTCACAAAGGGTCAAAATTTTGAATAATTATAACTCTCATAAAATGCAATGTAAGAGTCCGACATTCTTCAAATTACAAAGAATACAGTATTTTTATTAACCTAAGATCTGGTATGAAGATGGGATATATCGGTCCACTCCTTCTAACACCTCACTCACAAAGGGTCAAAATATTGAATATCCATGAAGCTCATAAAACGCGAAATAATATTCGATTCCATTCAGACTTGGTACATCTTAATATTCCCTTAACACAAGATCTGTTATAAAGATGGAAGAGATAGGACCATTTCGTCTTGGACCCCCCAACTTTGGGTTCAAGATTTTGAAAGACAAAACGCTCAAAGAAAGCGATATAAGCATCCAAGATGAAAGAAATCTGCCAACCCCCACTTGTACCTCACCCGCAAAGAGTCACGCTATCTTTCGAACAAATGGAGATAGAAGGCTAAAATTTTGCACAAATGTATATTTTCCCAGTAGGCAGGTTAAGTTCGTAAATGGGCCATGTAGGTCCAAGTTATCATATAGCCCCCATATAACGGTACCTCCCGATATTCGGTATTTTGATGATTTTAGCGACATTATTCACTAGAATTATTTTAAATTTGGCATTTGAAGTTCGTAATGGATACTACAGCCTAAGACAGAAAATTATCTGTGCAGGTCCACGTCATCGTGTAGCCCCCATATAACGGTACCTCCCGATATTCGGTATTTTGATGATTTTAGCGACATTGTTTACCGGAATCGTTTCAAATTTGGTATTTGAAGTTCGTAATGGATACTACATCCTAAACCAAAAAATGAGCCATGTAGGTCTACGTCTTTATATAGCCCCCATATAACGGTACCCCCGATATTCGGTATTTTGATGACTTTAGCGACATTGTTTACCGGAATCGTTTCAAATTTGGTATTTGAAGTTCGTAATGGATACTACATCCAAAGTCAAAAAATGAGCAATGTAGGTCCACGTCTTCATATAGCCCCCATATAACGGTCATATAGCCCCCATATAACGGTAGCCCCCATATAACGGTAGCCCCCATATAACGGTAGCCCCCATATAACGGTTTTGATGATTTTAGCGACATTATTTACAGGGATTGTTTCAAATTTCGCATGTGAAGTTCGTAATGGATACTTCAGCCCATGCCAGAAAATTGTCTGTGCAGGTCCACGTCTTCGTATAGCCCCCATATAACGGTACCCCCCATATTCGGTATTTTGATGATTCTAGCTACTTTATAAACAGATTTTTCTTGAAGTTTCTCATTTAAATATTTAACAATTTATGACAAAAGTTGCCTATGCAGGCCCACGTCGTCGTATAAGCATTCGGTATTTTTAAGATTTTGACAGAATTTTTAACGGGTTTAATTTTTTGAAATTGACAAATTTGTACCAAATGGTGGAGGGTATTAAAAGTTCGGCCCGGCCGAACTTACAGCTTTTTTACTTGTTAACTTATTAAGTTTAGATATTTTTAGAGCCCCTCAAAGTATGCTGTAAAAATGAAAAATATAATCCAGCATATTATGGAGGCTATATAAAGTTTGTGATTCCGTTTGTAACACCTCGAAATATACATTTTAGACCTTACAAAGTATATATATATTTTTTTGATCAGCATAAAATTCTTTGTCGATTTAACGATGTCCGACCGCCTGCATGTCCGTCTGTGGAATTAATCTAGTTTTCGAACGAATTGAAGTAGGTTGATAACATTTCACTCAGATGTGTACTTGGTCTGAACATGAGCTATGTAGGTCCACGTTATCGTATAGCACCCAATAAATGTACATACTTATATTCGGTACATTTTGATGATTTCACCGGAATTGCTTAAAATTTCGTATTGACCTATGACAAAAATTGTATGCAGGTCCACGCGGGTATAGATCCCAATATAACGCCTTCCTTTTTCGTAAACTTTACACGTCCGTTTTGCGAACTTAACGTCTTTTATTTGTTGAAGCCAGTTTGAACTGAAGAGCATCTCCTGCGCTTAACATAACCGGTCAATTTTCAAATGGAGGGAAAACCAAACATATTTGCGTAAATGGCCACAAAAAAGCACAAAAGAACGTAACAGGTTGGTCACAGACCACTGCTTAGCTACCAAAGCTCGCTGCGTATTGCCTCATTCCGATGTAAATGTATTTTGTAATTTGATTTAATGCAGAGGTCAAATGCACGGTCAAACATCCGTTAGATTAAGTCAATCCAAATCCACTAAACAGAGATTTCTTCGATTTGCATTTTTTCCTCTTTGGTATTTGGGTGAAAACTGCAAACTAATCTGATTAGTACAAATTAGGTACAAATAAATGGGCGTAGGTTTTGTAAGATATTCGAACCACTAGGTGGACAGGTAATACAGTTTTACTCTAAAAGTTAGGGATACTTTACCCTGGGGAATTGTCATAAAATGGGGATGTCACACACCGTTGGCAATCCGATTTCATTCAGACATGGCACATCTCAAAATTTCTATCAACACAATAGCTGTTATAAATATGGTGGAGATCGGACCATTCCTTCTGGTATCTCCCCAACAAAGGTTCAAAGTTTTGAATAACAAAAATGATTATAAAATACGAAAAAAACTTCCGGTTCTCCTCATATTTCACACATCTCATTGTTTCTACTGACACAATATCGGCTGTGAAGATGGAATTTATCGGTCCACTCCTTCTGTAGCTCCCCACAAAGGGTCAAAATTTTGAATAATTATAACTCTTATAATATGTGATGTAAAAGTCCGATTGTCTTCAAAGTACAAAGATCACAATATTTTTAAATATATCGGAATATATCGGTCCACTCCTTCTGGTAGCTTCCCCACAAATGGTCGACATTTTCAATATCCATGAAGCTCATAAAACGCGAAATTAACATCCAATTCCATTTCAGATTTGGCATATCTCAATATTTCAATCAACACAAGATCTGTAATAAATATGGTAGAGAACGGACCATTTCTTCTGGTACCTCCACCACACACAAACATTTTAGCCTACACAAAATCTGTTGTAAAGATGATATATGTCTGCGTACCCCTTCTGGTACTTCACCCGAAAAAGGTTGACAATTTTCAATACTTTTATCTGTCATAACTTGAGAAACAAGTCAACGTTTCTTTACAACTTCCTAAATCTAAATATTTTTCTCAACCAGAAACCTGAAATGAATATGAAAATTATAATTTCGCATAAAATTGGATATCAATGTTCTTGTAATTTTACCCATACCATATTTGTATCTGTATTAGATAAAGTTTGAAAATGAAATACTTCGGTCGACTATATCCGGCACTTTACTTCAACGCTTTCTAAAAATGATCACATATTTCATAAAAAGTTAAGTAAGTATCCAATATAGTCCAAACCTGGCACATCGCAATATTTGGATCATATTTATTTAGGTCCGATACGAAATGGACACTATTGGCTCATTCCTTCGGAACCTATTACATAGAGGGTCAACAATTTGAATAAGCATAACAGAAGTCAAAATATATTTGAGTAATCAAGCATTGCCTGAGGGTATACATCTATCGGCAAAACCGACTGATACTTTTTAACTTGTTATGTTTCTGCTTGGGAGCAGCATATCATAAAATGTTTGCTTCGGCTTATATTAGTCCGAGCGGCGATTATAAAAACCACCAGGTTCCTGCTACATCATTCTGTTCGATGCAGACTTACGTCACTTGAGCTTTGTTCTATCCATCCGGAGCAGATTATTTGCTACACATTCTGTACTGCAAATAAGGAAGTCGAATAAAAAGAGATTATCAATCCGCCATTTCTATTGGAGCATAGCATCTCCCCATCATCTCCAAAAGCAGATCACCCGGTTTCATAACCTCTGAAGCTCACTGGCCAGAATTAACCAGTAGACGTTCATCGTAGACATATAACTGCTGGCTGCATATCACAAATGCGTCAAGAAACCCATCAAAATATCAATATGCTGGCTATTATTAGGAACAAGCCCATTAAAATTAGTCAGATAAATTCATCAAAATGTCGAATATCCAGGGGGTACTATTATATAGATAAGATAAGGTGGACCTATATATATGTATTTTCGGCTAGGTGAAGACAATTCTATAAAAAATTTGACCAGAATCATGAAAATAACAAACATTTGGAAGTAATTTTATATAGAGGGCCAGAGTCATAAGTACTTATTAAGAACTTCACTTATCCGATTACGAACAAATCCATTGACAGATGTAGCTAAAATCATCAAAATACCGAGGTACCGCTATGTATGGGGATATACGATATTGTGAATATAAATAGACCATTCTCTTTCAAGGGGTAAAGTACCCAAAATGAACTTCATATGCAGAATTTCAATATCGAAAGGTACCGATATATTGACATGCCTGCAGGCAAATGACTGATCTGTACAAAATGTTAGCTTCCTATTTTAATTCTTTTCGAATCTAGTGTGATTACAACTGACGGCCTTAATCGTCTTAGAAATTTATGTGATCAAGAATGTATATACTTTGTAGGCCTATGATCATTATTGCTATGAGTTCTGAGCGAAATGACAACATAATATACCCTCCATAATCTGTATGGTAGAGCGTATTAAAAATATGTTCTTACCATAAGCACCCAAATATTAAGTCGGGTTCATGGTACATAATTTTGTTCGATGCAGACTTTTCATCTCTATGGAATAGTTAACCGCATAACTTGCCCGAAATCAAACCGTTTTTTTTTTTTTTAAGACAATAACCGCCTGGTACATGAGAGACGTCCAAACCATTACATGGTAATAGAACTTCCTCACCCAGGCAAGGCAGAGTGAACGTACTCGATGCAGAGAGGGAAGTCCAAAATTATACGAGAGAGCCTGTACATCAGGAATACTATCAGGCATGTATGAGTAGGCTTCATACCAGACCTGTAAACAACTTATCGATTTGGGTTGGTTCGGTTCAGTATTATGTGTATACATACATATCCAGATCCACACAAAAACTGCCTGTCAAAATGCATTAATTTAGTCGCTGTGACTAGCCTTGAAGTAATTTTCAACAAATCTTTAAACCAGTAAGGAAACGTCAAAAGTCGGGCCGGTCCGACTATATGATACCCTACACCACTATGCATATTTAATAGAACTCCCATTACAAAAAAGTTTATATTGGAAATTTAAGTGAAGTAGATCATACCAACTATGATCCAAATCACATTGCGGTATTGTGCATGATATGACTTCGATAAAGATTATATTAAAAATATTTAAGGGAGCAATAGTTATACATTTATAGTGAGCAATAACAATAAAATAAAATCGGATTAAGATGAAAATCGAAGCTATATAAAAATCTGAACCGATCTCGATAAAAAATATTGTTTGGAAAATTTCATCTCAATCGGATAATAAATGCGACCTGCATTTTTTTCCACAAAAATTACATGGACAGGCGGACTCAGAAAGTGATTATATGAAGATCCTCAAAAGTAACTATCTCGTTCGCTTCTTCATGTTACAAACAAATGGCCCAAGACGTAATACCATTACAAACCCGAGTAGTTTTGGCTCAATTAAGATGCGAATGGTGAACCCCCCTCAATTCCTTTTGGGCCCCGGATCGACAGCGATGTGCAGAACATCTGCTAGCTTGTGGCACAGGACCACATGATACGCTGCAACTTTTCCGCTGTGCAGCCAAACCCACTCACCAAACTCCAGCGTCGTTGTGGACCCAACTCGTACAGGTTGCAATCTTTTTGAGGCTGGACTTAGAAGCAAAACCTGATGGAGAAGAATCGGATCGAACACAGCAGTATGAGTTGCAACAACAACTATTACTACTATTTGATGTAGCCGTTCGGTTCGGAACACGTTTGCTGCCCTGATTCATACTGATGCAGTCACTGATGTTATTAACAGCAATTTTTCACATGCTTACAGTTTCGATAACTAACGAAATTTCGCCGGAAAGCAAGCCACAAAGTAGTCGGTAAGACCTACTGACAGAAAAAATGTTTCTGACTTTTTTTTCTCTTTTTTACATGAAAAGTAACAGATTTTAGTCGGTAACGGCAAAAATATTATAAAATCCCACTACTGATTCTTCCCAAATACTTGAATAAAAGCGAACTAATAATACTTAGCATAGAAATAAAGTTACTTTACAAGATCCGTTCCAGTACTATAAGAATGTGAACAAGTAAAAAAACATTAAGTTCGACTGGGCCGAACTTTAAATACCCTCCACATTTGGGTAAAGACATTTTTTTATATAAAAGTATCCGACATGTTCCACTTTAAACTACAAATACCAGTAAGACAGTTTGGATAATGCTGTTGAACTTTTCAAAAACACCATAAAGTGGGTGAGGCCATTATATGGGGTCCATTCCAAAACGGGAACCTCCATAGACAATTTTATAATTCATGGATTATCTTCTATCAACTTTTCTTAAATACCAAATTTGAAACAGGATTGAATAGGATTATCAAAATACCGAATATCGATGGGTATCGTTATAAGTGAGGTTTAGGAAAAAGTGGAAATATTCAATGTTCTGCCACCGGAGCTAGAACCCATTATGCTGGACGAATTCGTGGGAAAATGTGACAAAAATCATCAAAATACCGAATATCGGGAGGTACTGTTATACGGCAGCTATACCAAAACGAGGACCGATATATTTCATTTTCAATACCAACCAACCTAGATACAATACAAATTATTGTGCCAAATTTTGAAGTCCTGCGTCAAAACAATGTGGGTAATTTCAATAGACACACAGACGGACATCGTTATATCCACTTAGAATTTTATGCTGATTATAAATATATATACTTTATGGGGTCTACGACGAATATTTAGGGATGTTACGAACGGAATGACAAATTTGATATATCCTCCTTTTCAAGGTAAAGGGTATGAAAATGTTACCACTTTACCACTATTTTGAGAAAAATTGCAAATATAGTAGATTTTTCCCCCATTTTCTACGCCAAAGTCCGTTAACATTCCGGCTCAAACCACGACACTGTCCGCTAAACAAACAAAGAATGCAAATGAATGGAATTGCTTTGAAATATTCAAACAAGAATTTTCTAAAAATACCCATCAAGTCTATGTTGGTACAGGCATTCAAGCCTAATCCCTACAGCCCAATGTCAAATGCTACGCGGTTAAGCGTTAATCTCCAAATGGTTGATTTCTAAATGAAATCTCAGCATAATTCAGCTATAAAAGTAAAGTCTGTTCTGCATTTGGATTTTGTCGATAATGACCAATAAAAGTTCGTAGAAGTTTCTAAAAGATTTAGCACCAAACAATCGGAAAGGAGAGCGTTTTGTGGCAGCGGTTAAACCATGGAATATTATAACATCAGTTCCAATGCTGCCATCAAATTGGACAATGCTTCGGCAGTGTTATTTCCTCAAGCCAGGTAAGTGTTTAAAAGGAGAACAGTGACATTTTTTAGCGAATTTTGGTTATTAGTTCAAATATTTTGCAATGAAGACATTTTCTATAAAATCGATAAGAGCCTGCAAACGTTCCAGTACTAAGTTATTCGTCGCTGTGAATAATGAAAAATGTTTGGTGGCTCGTACTGTTGTGCTCATGCTGATGTATCGTTATTCAACTCCAAAGGAGGCGACGTGTATGAACTGAGCCCACAGTGATCCTTGAGTTAGGTTTGGCTGGGCAATAAAAAAGAACGTGTCGGGCAAGTGATCTGCGCTCTGCTACCAATTCCTCATTTATTAAGCTTGCGATTATTACTTGGGTGTAAACAAATTCTTGTCATAGGAGTTAAGTAACTCCTGGTGAGAATATCCCCAGACAAAAACCAAGAGAGCTACTAAGGATTGGTGGCTCTTTCCGAAACCCTGGTATTCCCTGCCTTACCCCTGGTCAATTGGACATATTCGACCAAATAACAATTGAGGCGGCTCCACTATCTCAGTTGCGTCAAGACCATTAACAGCAGGCAGACCTTCGTTATTCGTCGTCCTTCATTAGCAATGGGTGCTGGATGATCACCAAGAAGGTTATTATCTCCATATTGCTCCATTACTTCAATGACCGCGTCAGAGTGAATAATATTCAGACCTACTTGATGGACCTATTGATCTAGAGCTCTTTACAAATCACAAAAGCTGAATATTCCCCAACTGATGAGTACGGTGGCTAAACATTTTATTGTGCCTCACGGGTAAGACTATCGCCTCCTTAAGAAAGTGATTGACAGATGTCATGAGGTGGCACCCTGGGCGGTTGGTTTAGATAAACTAGATTCTAGTTACTAGAAGGTGATTCAGCCGATTGCAAATGTCATTAATAATGGGTCCGAACGCCATGAGTGTAAAATCAGCCGCGTATTATGATTATCTCAACGCCATTAGTAGGGCGTGGAATACCAGAAAGGTAGAGGATAAGCCGTTTCGGAGATGGGAAAGTCTTCGCTTCATTCTGTGAATTTTCTTGTTCCTTAATTCCAACGTCTCAAACTAGACAGGAGGATAGGGCTTTCACATGGTATGGCGTGATTAAGTTGACTAAATACTTTTACTATAATTAAAGGCCACTGTCGGACGGCCTGTTCCCCTGGTTGAATCCCCCAACAATATGTATGCAAATGGTTTCCTGGAATTCACGTTTACGATTAGAAACTCTCTTCGATGTTGGGGAGCAGTACAGACTCAAGCGTCCTCGCAAAAGGCGACAAAAAAAAACAAGTAAAATAAGTAAAAACAATTGGAACGATTTTGGAATTTTCAAAAAAAAAAATAAAATCTTGTTGTTGCAAAATGGTCAGAGTTAATCCCTTTATTTTTGTTTTTAAAAAAACTTCGTTTTTTTATTAGTGGAGAACGATGATAATGTTTACCAGATTCCTTTTCTATTGAGCTTACGATCTCGTCACTTGGGTAAAAAATGTTTTTTGTCATAAAAGTTATTTTTAAAATAACTTCTGGAGAAAATATCCCAAATCGGCACTATCCGAAACCTAGGTATTCCCTGCCTTACCCCCTGGTAAACATTACCATCGTTCTCCACTAATAAACAAAACGTTGTTTTTATAAAAGCAACAATAAAGGGATTAAGCCTGACCATTTTGCAACAACAAAATACTATGGTATCCCGAAAAAAACAAGCCAACACTGCTCTAAAAATAAAATCCGTTAAAAATTCTGTTTAAATCTTAAAAATACCGAATGTAGCCGTTATATCAGGGTCGATACGACGATGTGGACCTGCATAGGTAACTTTTATCATAAACCATTACACTATTCAAATGCGAAACGGTGAATAATGTTGCTAAAATCGTCAAAATACCGAATATAGGGAGGTACCAATTTATGGGGGCTATACGAAGACGTGGACCTGCACAGACAATTTTCTGTCATAGGCTCCAATACCCATTAGGTACTTTAAATACCACATTTGAAACATTTCCGGTGAATAATGTCGCTAAAATCATCAAAATACCGAAAAAAAGGAGGTGCCATTATATCCCTCATATACCAAAACGTGGACCTTTTCAATACGAAAAGTCCTGCAGACATTATATACATTTGAGTAAAATTGTTTCAACCTGTCTGTCACCTCTACGCCATTAAATGAGAAGAGACCTTCATCCTCCTTTCCAGAGTTCAGGAGCGACTAAACCATTGCGGTGCAGACGTTACAATAATATAAAGTCAGTTCGTGCGACGGAGCTCATTACGCTTATTTGTCAATACTAATGCCTCTGGTGAAAAGATTTGGAATAGTTTTTCGACCATGTCCCGGAAACACCTACCTGCTGCCTGAACACAAAATGGTTTGGGCAGTTCTCTAAAGAGGCGTTCAGAGTTATAAACTCCGGTGGAATATTGAGGATGACAAAAACGGGGAGGTAGTCTGAGCCTATGTCATTTGTCGGAGTTTGGGACACAATGGATATGTCCAGTAAGCTGTGGACATATCCATCCATCCTGGTGTGTGTCAATGTGCGATGCCCCTCGGATTATTGCCTAGGACCGAATTAGAAAATCCATGGGGCACATATATTTAACGCCGGAATATACACGTTTAGCACCTCCACTTCGGCAATTCCTCACTTGACCACTACCTAATATATTTCTTGTATGGGTTTCTAAAGCACAAGTGAGATGGGTCTTTACTTAATCCGAAAATTTCAATAAAATGTGAAAAAGTGGCGAACTTACACCAACTATTTAGGATACTTTGTTTATATTTGGCTTTACTTTTATAATCTAATTTCCAGCAGTTATTAAAAAAATGAATTTTGTCGCACAGTGTAATTAGATAAAAAAAATATGAAATATAGCCGGAAGTGGAGTGGAGTTTTTTAACGACTCCATCAAAATTTCTCGACTTCGCATCCATGGATATAACCACGTAGGTTAGGTTAAACGCTCCACTCGGAGACCTGCTGGTCCATTGTGTCCATCCTAATAGGAAATTGGGAGGAAGAATAATAGTAGAAAATAAGATTATTTTGAAGATGTTGCATCCCCTTTCGTCCAGCCATTTTTGTTGAATTCTCTCCGAGTAGTGTTTATGAATAACCTGTAGGAAGTGGCACAGGGGTGGTTTGACGGAGTTCTCAACTTCAATGGTAGTCGATTCGGATCCTAGCATAGCCAATTCGTCTGCAGTCTCATTGCCTGAATTATTGTAATGACCAGGAACCCAACAGAGCTTGATGGACAACCCATCGTTTTCCAAGGATCTCCTGCAGTCCAAAACAGCCCTAGACTTAATTGTAGAGGAGTTTAAGGCTTTCAGTGCTGCTTGACTGTCGGCGTATATAGTGCTAACCTCGTTGTTCCTCGTGTTTTTTTTTTGACTGCAAAGATTTCCGCCTGGAATACGCCACAGTCGTTTCTAAACTTGAAGGATTCGTGTTTCATCCGTATTTCTTCTTTGAACCGTATGTATAAACAGCAATGCCGCGAAAGGTGGATTGTTATGGGCCCAAGCCACCCTATCAGGTATGTGGATGTCAGGTGGATCAAAGTTCAACCGTGGTGAAATATAATTACTTGTGTTGGCTTCAACTGACACCTTCCTTACACGCTCGAAGGTCTCACAATGTCCAAAGGTTTAGTTCTCTGATTCGAAATGCACACCTAATTGCCTGTTCCTCTACATGTATGCTTAGTGGGCTTAAGCACAGTAGGGTGTCCAGTGCAGCTTGAGGTGTGCTCTTGAAGCCACCCGTTAATAGTAAGGATGCGGCTCTTTGAACTTTGTCAATGTGACGTAAGTAAGATGACTCGTTCAAGGAATGCCGCCAGGATAGAGCTCCATAGGTTAGAATGGGGTAAACAATTGACTCATACACCCATTTAATGATGTGTGGTTTGAGGCCCCAGCTTTTACGTATGGAGTCCTTGCAAGAGTAGAGTGCAATCAAGCCTCTTTTTGATCGCTCCTCGGTGTTCTGCTTCCATCTTAGTTGGCGGTCGAGGATAGTGCCGAGGTATTTAGCTTCAGAGGAGAGGTTTAGCGTGACCCCATCTAGCATCGGTGGTATAAAAGGAGGACATTTGCGTTTCCTCGTAAAGAGGACGAGCTCTGTCTTTGATTGGATCACACCTATTCCATTGCGACGTGCCAATTGATAAGGTGACTAGAGCCCCCTGCATCACATCGGAGATAGTTTGCAGGAATTTCCCAGCAATCAACAGGACAACATCATCAGCATAAGCGACTTACCCAGTTTTCCCTAGATCTATGAATATATGGTTGATAACCAGAAGCCAGAGCAATGGTGATAGAACACCGCCTTGCGGCGTGCCCCTGGTGACCGATTTGGTGACGGATACTTCCCCAAAGCTTGAGTTGATAATTCTGCTGCTCGGAATTTATTAAGAAGTTGAGATACCCCAAGTCTTAATAGGGAATTACGAATGGATTCTAGTGCGAAGTTGTTGAAGGCTCCTCCAATATCAAGCAAAGCTGCCAAGGTGAACAAGGAGTCATTCATGTTTTTCTCAATGAAACCTACAACTTCGTGTTGCGCTGTTTCAACAAATTTACCTTTCATGTAGGCATGTTGAGCAGTGCTGATGACAGTCGTGGGTAGTAGAGATCTGATTTCTATGTCTATCAGCCTTTCTAATGTTTTTAATAGGAAGGATGATAGACGAGACATGTTGAATCATAGCGGGAACAATGCCGTCTCGCCCTTGGGATTTAAAAGGCTTGAATGTGTCTATGGCCCACATAATTTTGGATATATAACCACGTAAATTTTATGTATGTGGCACTAGAGTCAAGCTCAGGTGCACGTTTCGAAAAATATATAAAAGAAAAACAAATTCCAATCCGTTATTTTGAAAGTCAGTGCAGAGAAGTGGGGATGTATAACAATTTTTTCCCTAAATGAGTATTATGGAGTTTGAGACCCTCCCTTCACCAGATTTTGTATGGCATTTGAGTGAACTTATTTTGAAAAGGCATCAGGTTAATAACTGTATTATCTATTTCGTAGATTATCTGCTGAGAGGCGACTATTGGGCTGGGATGTACCACCACACGAAATACGCCATATACCGGAACACTGGCTGCAATTTCAAGAACCACCGGAATCGATGCACTACTTGTTAGCAATGCTGTACATATTCTTCACCATAATGTCGCTTACCGGAAACGGTTTGGTAATTTGGGTTTTCTCGGCGTAAGTAGTGCACACTTTTCGTTCTCAGCTCATTTTGTAAAATTCGATTCAATTGCAGAGCCAAATCTTTACGAACCCCCTCAAATTTTTTGGTTATAAATTTAGCTGTTTGCGATTTTCTGATGATGTCCAAGACACCGATATTCATTTACAATAGTTTTAAGCGCGGCTTCGCCCTGGGAAATTTAGGTTGTCAAATATTCGGCATAATTGGATCATATACAGGAATAGGAGCATCATGTACAAATGCCTTTATTGCATACGATCGGTACAATGTAATCACACGACCCATGGAAGGCAAGATGACCCACGGCAAGGCGATACTGATGATCATCTTTATTTATATGTATGCCACACCTTTTGTGGTGGCTTGTGTCACTGAAAGTTGGGGACGCTTTGTTCCGGGTAAGTATGGTTGGAGATCTGTGAATGAACGTTATGTGTATATTATAATTATATTCACCATCGTATTGCCTTAACTTACCGATCGTGATAGATAGAATTAAGAAGATTTGGTTGTTTTTTTTTTTTTAATTTTTATTTTTGTAATTATCATTGCATTACTTTTAGAGATCAACTAACCTATGTAAAATATATGTATGTATGTGTACGTTTGTGTATTTTCATCTTGTATATTTTGTTGTTTTGTCGTCGTTTTTGTGTATTCCTTAGCTTACACACAGTTAAAAAAAACATGCGATCTTATAATAAATAATGTAAATCGGCCGTTTCGTAATTCAAATTAAAGAACTGAACATGGATCGAATCTTTAACGAGTAGTGTGAGCCTACATTTTTGTTGCTTATTGTTGGTATATTATGTTTGTTGCTGATACTTTGCTGCTTGAAACTGAAATTCTCTTTTTGCTTTTCTTATAAAATTGTTATTGAAAAACAGAAAATAACTATTTTAAAGTTGGTTGGTTTTTTTTATATTTTTACTTTTGTTTTATTATTGTTTGTTTGTAATGTATTTAGCACATAAACATATTCGAGTAAACGACAATAAACAAAACTTACATTCGATAATTGTGTTAAAACAAAGACCTTGGTATATACAAATGGGAGGGTTCACCAAATGAAAAAATAATAATGAAAATAAATCAAAAGTAGTGGCGGGGCAAGAAAAGGATTAAGTGTGTTCGAAAGAATGCCTTATGAGAATTGTGTAATAGAAAATCCTATACCGTACTCATTCTACAATGCCATCCACATTCTATACCATCTATACCAAGAGCTTCTTGTAACTAATAAATGAAATAATTTCCGCATAAAATTAACTAAAAATATAATCTTATCATTAAACATTCCTGTAAATTTCAAAGAGTTTACAAAAGAATTAAGTCTTTAGGAGTTTATAGTAGTTGGTGGATGAATTTTAAACGGCTGTAACACTTGAATCAATTGAAAGTGAGTGCCAAATATGGGATACATTTTTTTTGTTGTTAAGGAACATAACATCTCCGTTCTATTGTTATACGAATAATTAAGATAATTCTCTAGATACGAGAATATTAAAAAAAAAAAACAAAAACTTATCTCTAAAATAATTAAACATAGACCACAAAACTAAATCGTTCAAGATAAATCGTTTCCAATACCATAGCAGAGCATTCCATTTGTGCCAAAGATGATATTTTTGCCGAGAATTAAATCAAATGTAATTTGTCTTTTATATTTCCATTTAACTGGGTTCCAAAAGGAAAGTCCGTTGCATTTCATCTTCTTCGGGTTCGAGGAAATATCAGCAACACTTTCATTCAAAAATAAAATGTTATGTTTTGTTGAATTTCTAAATTTAGAACTAAAGCTAACAGGAGGTGTTTTAGAAACTTTCCTGTTATTTGCATGGATTTTGCTTCACCCACATGACCACCAACTAGAATTTTTCGTTTCGTTATTTAGTTTTTGTTTTCTCGGGTATTATGTCTGGTAGTCTAAATTTCCTTTGCAATATTCTCTCACTCTGCGATCATCGATGTTAGAATGTTATTGATATTATACAATTGAAATGGTAACATTAATACCCAAATTTCCATTATCGGCAAACAGTTGGGCAATTGATGTGTCAAACACCAAACAATCGGAATTGTGAATGGCTGAGGCTACACCTTCGTGTATAGATCGTGGCATTGCCTCCCATGTGAGACGTCGACGGTTGCCATTCAGTTCCAGACGATACACGAAATTTTCGGCTTCTTTGCGCGATCCGATTAGCTGGACAATGGCGAAGAACTGTTGATGTCCATCGTATTTTTCTTGTTTCTCTAGGACGAGCATAAAATGATGACCGAAACACGACTGCATCATGACCCAGTCAACAGCACCTGGTAGATTTATGTCGGTGGCTAAAAACACAATATCTTCACCTTGTAGTGTGGTAATACTTTTATGTGACATCATTAAATGTTGCATGACTAGATCCAGAGGTCCTTGCCATTTGCAAGAGGCACCTGGACATGGACACAAGTAGGGTCGACATTCGCAGGTCTCTTCATGTTCGGTTTTTTCCGTATAGAGCAATGATGCTGTACACCCATAGCCTGAATGCTTACACGGAAACTTAACATTGGAGGCTACTTTCTCCATGGCCAAATTACGAATATTGGCCAAGGGACCACGACACGTTGGACAGCAGGTGAGCTTCGAGCGGCACGACACACACACCAAATGGCCGCTCGAACACTGGAGTATTGGTGGCAACACATAGTCGAAGCACACCGGACATTCGAACAACGATGTTAGATCGGTAGACATACCGACATCACCGCCTCCGGCGGATGACAGCGAGGAGCTAGAGGACGATGATGTGTTGGCCGATGTATTGCTGGTGTTGGTATTGCCAGTTGCACTAACAGTTGGTATTTCACGCTTTATTTTATTAATTTTATTAGACATTGGACTTTGGTAATGGTGTGTTATTGCTGGTGATGTTGAGGATATTAGTTAATACAAAAAGAAATCCTAGGGGAATTTGTCAACCTAATGCTGACAAAAATCTGGTCTTATCTTCGGCTATAGCAAAAGTTCTTCGAGTCTGTTGTTGGCAGTTTTCAAAATGTTTTCCTTGTTTAGAGAATATGCCGGAGCGATGATCGATGTTTCAGGCGACAAATGAATGTGTCACATAGAAATCATTGGATTAAATCTGAAATGAAAAGACAAAAATGCAATGAAAATACCATTATGAAAAAAAAAAAAACATCTGAATAATATAAAATCGTATAATTGTAAAAATTTTACAACTGCAAACAACCGGAACATAGACATAATGTTAACGTTAATCAAATCCTATGTTGTTAAATTTGGTATTTGGTATTTTAAGCGCAATAGTAAAAAATTCTATCGGAATGCTCATGATTTAGCATTTAGAAGTTATTAAGGTATTTTGTTAAGGGTATAGTTTCTTATTCTCAATGAAAGAGGAACACAGAAGAACTAGCAATGAGAAGCTTGATTGCACTCTATTCTTGCACGAACTCTATAAGTAAAAGCTGGGGCCTCAAATGGATGTATGAGTCAATTGTTCGCCCCGTCCTATCCAATGGAGCTCTAGTCTGGTGGCATTCCTTGAGGATATCATCTTACTTACGTCACATTGACAATGTTCAAAGAGACGCAACCCTACTATTAACGGATGGCTTCAAAAGCACACCTCGAGCTGCACTAGACACTGTGCTTAAGCCTACTAAGTATACACGTAGAGGAACAGGCAATTAGGTGTGCAATTCGACTCAGAGAACTAAACCAATGCCGCAGTCAATGCTTTGGACATTCTGCGATCTTAGGGCGTGTAAGGAAGGTGGGAGTGGAAGCCAATACAAGTGATTTTATTTCACCACGGTTAAGCTTTGACCCCCTGACATCCTGATCGTGACATCATGAGGAACAACGATGTTAGCAGTCCGCTGACTATATACGTCGATAGTCAAGCGGCACTGAAAGAAGATCCTTGGAAAGACTGGGTTGTCCATGGAGCTCTGTTGGGTTCCTGGTCATTACAATATTTCAGGCAACGAGACTGCAGACGAATAGGCTAGGCTAGGGTCCGAATCAGCTATCATTGAAGGCCAAACCACCCCTGTGCCACTTCTTACAGGTACTTCATAGACATTACTCTGAGAGAATTCAACAAAAATGGCTGGGTGAAAGGGGATATAGCATCTCCAAAAGAATCTTTCTCCAATACTCTCGGAGAAAAGAACAAAGCCTCTACTGTCCTTCTCGAAACTTGATTTAAAACTTGTGGTGGGTATCATCACAGGTCACTGCAAAGTGACCTCGAAATGGGACAGCGATGATATTGACTACTGTAGAATATGTCAAAACGAAGAAGAAATTGTGACCATCGAATGCCAATGTCCAGCGCTCAATAACGTGGGACAGGTTGGTGGGGGACCGAAGGACCGATGATTTGTCTTCCTTTGGAGCTTAAGTGGCTAAAGACGGCACGGCAAAATTTTTAGCCGTGGATCACTCATCACTATATCTCCTATCAGTAATATCTCCACTTTTTTCCACCATTCTTTTCTTTCTTCCGCTTTCTTCATTAGGATGAACACAATGGACCAGCAGGTCTCCGAGTGGAGCGGTTACCAAACGGCAACTGCGCGCCCTTTAACCTAACCTAATCTAAATAAATGTAAATTTGGGGTATTTTCTTGGTACGTTTTTAAATGAAATGAATCGTTTAAATAAATTGAATCCTTTTGTTGTTGTTTCTCAATACTATTAGGGGAGAATAATGGTAGTGTTTAACAATGATCAGTCAGGGAATTTCGAGTTTTCGGAAAGAGCCACAAATAAACGCCAACACTGTTCTGTTCTTTCTTAGGCAAAAGAGCGCACAATTGGTTTTTTGCTGTCTAGAACTTACGGCGACAGGGACGACCATGTTATCAACCTAAACCAGGAACCTACGCAAGGTGTGGTCCTGGGGACGAGACACATTTCAAAATGAATGCCTATCTGCCATTTCTTGTATATTTTACATGGAATATTCATTTTTTTGGCTTTTAGGAATAGCTACTTCTAACATAAATAATTAATTCATTAAATTATCTTCTTGATTCAAGTTGTGGAATGTGATGCCTTAAGTTTCTATTTCTACTCTTATTAGCGAGTATTAGTTATTCTATTTATTTTCTTATCTTGATTCCGCTGCATTTTCACACTGCTTTACAACAATTTTGTTTATTGAATTCTTAAAAAAGATTACTAGCTTTGAGACTGTTATTAATATATAAGTTATGGGGCCTGTGGGCTTCTATATATTTCGAAGTATAATAAATAAATCAAATGAATTTTGTTGTCTGCATAGATTATATTATTAAGATCATGTGCAAAATACAAACAGCAAAGAAAGGTCAAAGTCGTGCGGAGCCGACTGTAGGATAGTAGAGCTACGCCTAACAAATGCCTTTATAATCATAATTTGAATTTGATTGAAACTAAAATATGGGAGTTATATCGGAGCTATAGCATTATCTAAACAGGTTTTCACAAAATTTGTCGCATTTGCTTTTATGCTTAATTGGTTTAATGTACCAAAATTAATCCTATCTGGGCTTGTGGAATATATTTAACGTCTGTGGCGGACTTAAATTGGATAAAACATATATATCTGACACACTTGCATCTAGGCTGAATTCAGTCTTATGTACCAAAATCCATCCAATAGGGCTTATATTACATATATGGGACACAATAAAGTTGAAATCGGGCGAAGATGTACATATATGGAAGCTATATCTAAATTTGGATCTACTAGCACCAATTTAAAAACGATTCGTCCTATGCATAAATCGATTCAGAATGTGATTCTATGTAGATCATCAAAAGGAACCAAGGGACTATGTCGTGTTCTTCTGCATGTTACAAATAAATGCACATAATAGCCTGTACCCCAGTATGGTATAGGGAATGAAACTGTGTCCACTTTGGAAATACACAACTCAAAAAAAGACTATTATTTTTATATTGAACTAGCTGAACCCAGTGCGCTTCGCTAATTCTTTTATTTGATATGCATTCCAAATTTTATATGCATGGTTAAAAAAGGACAAATTCAAAAATTAAAAAAAAAAAACGTAAATTGTTTTACTTCTATGCGTAAACCAAATAGCTTGGTCTACCAACGCGTGAACACGCCAGGAACAACTCACCATGAGAAAAGTAGGAACATGCGTGCAGGAAATTGCAATATTTTGAAGTTGAGTGGCATTTCTGTTGCAATTAGAAAATTCGAGTGAACAACATACTTCCCCGTAATAATCGTATCCTCAATTAAATTTTTTGTAGTTTTATACTGTTAGCCTAATACCATTGCAAAGGCGTTGTGGGTCAATGCTTCTAAAATAAAAAAATAATCCCAATAAAATAAAATCATATCCCAATCTGAACCGATTTCAATATAATTTTACAAAATTTACTTTTGCACCAATTTCATTGAAATTGGAGGTACATACCGTGGCCGAGAATATATATGGGAACTATATCCAAATCCTAACCAATTTCTAATTAATTTGTCAAATTTATTATTGGAACCAAATTCCGCCACACGTTAGGAATTTCATTGGAATCGGACATACATATCGTGTTTGGTGCATCAAATAAACGAAATCGGACGAAAATATATATGGGAGCTATATCCGAATCTGAACCGATTTCAACGAGTCCATAAATTACAAACATACAAACATTTTCCTCTTTTATAGATATAGATACCGAAATGACTTCAACGTAAAAACCTCTTTTCTGCTTTCTAAGGTATTTGACAGAATGTAGCCGTTCAAAAACTAATTGAAGTCTTCTTTAGTAGGAATAACATGACTAGGGTCTGTGTTGATTGTGATTAAATGTTAATGGAGTCTATTGTTACTCCCGTGATAGTTCGTGTAAATTACAATTTAATAACACACATTACGCAGTGAACATTAGTTCGCCATGAACAATGTAATGCATTCAAAATGGTGAAATGAAACAAAAAAAAATATTTTTTTGGGAACAACTAAAAAAAAAAAAAACTCTGGGTTTTTCGAAATTTTTCCAGAGGTAGGTATTTTTACCCTAATTCCAGGAAACTATTTTTTCTTGGAGGACGGACCCGGGACCGCTGATTTTTGACCCAAAGGTCCGTGTTTAAGACCCGGATCCACTTACCCGATGTAGACAATATAGGTTTGAAAGTTTATGAAAATAACTATCCCCAAGAAAAAAATTGTTTCCCGGAATCAGGCTAATAATATCTACCACTGAAACAAATTTCAAAAAAAAAAAAATTAAGAGTTTTTACTAAACAAGAGTTAAGTCCAAAAATTAAAGAATTAATATAAAAACTTGTAAATATTTGTCCATTTTGTTTTATTTTCATTATTATTAAAGATAATAATAATTTAAATCCGTTACATAACGAATTTAAGGTAGGCCAAAGCTACTAATCAGTTATTTATTTACTTGTATAGATTATCATGTCAAAATTAGTTGGGTTTGTATTCTTTTCAATTATACGAAACTTTTTTGCAATATATTTCAATTCAGTTACAAAAGTGCTTACTACAACATGTGAGTAGACAAAATCTAACTATTTTGTGACGAAATAAGTCTTGAAAGATATATAGAACATTATTTTGAAGAAAATTCTTGATCTTTTAATCAGTTATTTTTTTCTAATGGTTCTAAAAAATCAAAAAAAGAGCTGTAAATTCGGCCGGGTCGATCTTGGAGTACCCTCCAGCATTTGGAACGATTTTGGCAATTTTCAAAAAAATAAAATCCGTTAAAAATTCTGCATAGGTAACTTTTGTCATAAACCATTACAATATTCAAATGCGAAACAGATTTTTAAGGAAGAACTACAAAATATAAATTTAATAATGAAATCAAAAATACGTAATTGTATGATAGAATGGATTACCCATTCGATTTTGAAAAAATGAGATTCTCAGCTTGATTAAATTGAAAATTTCATAAAAACAACTTTATATTGTTTGCAAACATTGATGTTTCTGTAAAAAAAATTGTATATAGACAAATTTTTAAAAATTTTTATGTGTTATTGCTTTATATGTGCTAATAATTTTATTTACAGTTTTTTCCCCAATTTTGAACTGGACTTCGTGTACATTATGTTTCCAAAATGTTATACACCACAAAGAACGATACAACCCACTGTGTGTAGATTTTGCTGCTAATTTAGTTGCCATTGTGATAACAACAACAAATCAGGTGGTTGTCGATTGCAATTTGCTTTTGATTGTTTCTCAGTTCTGTTTATGTTCGAGGCTCAAAATTTCAATTCAGGTTATGCGAATGAATGGCTACGTACCCAGGTGCAAGTAGCTAACTTGTGAATTGTAAGAGAAGCGATGGAAACATACAAACACACACGTCGCATATCTTTGACCTTTTTATGATGAATTTCACTCTTTCTAATTTTCACACATTGACCCCCTTGAAAATTGTCTATTTTCAGATATTTTATCATTTCACCATATAATAAACTCAAGTAATTGATAACTTGTGTATTATGTATACATAGTGACAGTGCCCACTGACCATTTTACACATACTGGGTGTACACACATACAAACCCTTTTTGTTTACCTTTAACGTTTATGGCGATATCTGTGGCTTGTTTTAATCACTTTTGGTTTTTACATTTATTCCCGAAGAAGACTGCATTGGAAATATGTTGAACGCTGCGACACGGCTTTTCCTTCGATTGCTCTTTGTGGCATCTCATATGTTGTCACGACTGACTCTAACTTTTATCTACGATGTTGTTGTTGTTGTTTTTTCGCTCGTTCCTTACTATTTCCAAATGGTGGATGAATGTTATTCTTATTGTTAAATATTATTCTGTAGTGTAATCATACGAAATAGATTTAAAAGGCTATAGGATACACAATTGTATAATGCAACATCTGTGATTCCAGTAATATTTCAAATTTTATTGAATTTTTTAACACAAATCTACAATTTATTTGTCTAATTATTCTTGCTTTTTAAACGGCTTTGTTAAATAGTCTCGTCGCAATTTTTGTGATCTCTTTTCGACCTTTTTAGAATGACACTTTTGATTCCACTTAAACAATAAAACAAAAGTACATGAATTAATGAAATGAATTTGTTCAAAAAAGCGCAGATTGGCAGAATCTTCTTTTTTACTTATTTAAATTGTTTTATTATTCACTTCATATTAATAAAATTCCTCCTACTCTGTCTATAAAATTTCTCGTTTTACTTTTAGGGATACGTAAGCCGACTTTGAACAAATCGACATGCAGGGACACGTAAGCCGACTATGAAGCAATCGATAACACGATTTTAATTAATAATTTCCGAAATCGGTGAATTAGTTAATTCATGTTTTTTTATCTTTTTTACTATCGACACTCCATTACCTGGAAGACCTCCATTAAAATAAATATACATTTAAGAACTTAACCTGTCACTGGCAAAATACACATGTGTAAAATTATTTTGGACATACGCTCCTTTGTTCTTTTCCGAAGAAGCCAGCGGATAATTTAAGTTGAGAATATATAAAACACTTTTTCGACTGGCTTAAGTCATCGGCTGGCTTCTTAGTAGAGGAACAAAGGAGTTTTAGTTTGACTTAGTTCGATTTTGGACCTACGCTCCTTTGTTCTTTTCCGAAGAAGCCAGTCGATGACTTAAGCTAAAAAAGCGTTTTATGATGTTTCCTCAACTAAGAGCTCTGAACAGCAAGTTTTAGCCAATTTACATTACAATTACAATACATTTACAATTTTTTCAATATTACCCGATTTTATTTAATGGAACCCAATCCTAAATAGTAAAGAGTAGTTGCACGATAGTTGCACTAGTTTTCATGTTTACCGTTAAAATTATTGCAACAATACTATATATTGACACTATGAATTGTATGTCTTTTTTCTTTTCATTTTCAGAGGGATATTTAACATCGTGTACTTTTGACTATTTAACTGATAATTTCGATACTCGTCTCTTTGTTGGTACAATTTTCTTCTTTAGTTTTTGCTGCCCTACGGCACTGATTATATATTACTATAGCCAAATTGTTGGTCACGTGTTTAGCCATGAAAAGGTAAGTTTCAGATTTGTAACCATGGTACAATAATTACAAGGCAGGGCAAAGTGATTTCACAACACCCTGTTCCTAATACAATTGCAATTCTTTTTTTGCCCAATTCAATTCAAGTGATTGCTATGCCGTACCTGTGTTCTTGCATCATATTTGTAACTATAGTACCATGGTTCAATAAAAAAAGGTTGCCCAACTACAAGGAAACTAGAAAAATGCAACTCTATGCTGGAGTCAAATTAACTTTTAAATATGCAACAATTGGTTTTGTTTATTTTTAATTTCAATTTTTTTTTAACAAAATCCTTACATTGGGAAAACCCGCGAAACAAGAATGGAATTTCGGGAGTTTTCCACAAGATTGAATCTACAATAGTAGGACAATACAATTTTATCACAACATTATACAATTTGTTACCTATTCACGTCGAAAATTTGCATTTATTTTTCAACCACATTTGAAATAATTTCAAATTATTGTATTTTTTATTCAAAACAATACACACACATACACAAAATGTGTATATGTTTTGACAGAACATGGTAGAATTTAGGTAGATGCTTATGCCATGTTTACGTTAGAACTTTTTGTAGGGTTAACCTACTTTGAGAGGATTTATTTGAAGTAAAAGTAATGGAAATGACAATTTAAATCCAAATCCAGTGGGTTAATCCTCATATATATAAACGTACTGTTAGGAACATTGATATGTCAAATGTTTTATGAAAAATAAGTGGATTTTTGAATGTTTTTTATACGACGCAAATCAGAGGTTGTTATAATATTTTTTTTCAACAGTTTTTACGAATTTTAATCATTTTCATTCAACATTTTCAATTCCAAAATCGCTTTGACATTTCATTGTCCCAGCAGCTGTGTCGATGCGACTACCTGTATTCCTCTATAATGTGACAGAATAAGGGCACCATAAGAAAAAAATTTATCTAGGGGGTACCCATGGTACAATAAAAAAGTAAGGTGGAGCTACCAGCTGATTACATTGTTTTCTAAGTGTGTCAGACTTCTGCCAATTTTGTATATGTTTTTGTTGTTTTGAAAAATAAAAACAAAATATTTTCAAAATCAATGATTGGAAGAAACTTAAATTGCGGGGCGCGCATTAATAATATTAACATAAATTTAACACTTAGGATCATACTCTTAAGAGAACATCCAGGCATTTCACTCACATTTCGTGCTATTTGACTCATTTTAAAAATGAACAAAAAATATCAAATAAATGAAAACAACATGTTGCCTATAATTTTGAATAATTCTGACAGGAAGCGGGCATAGCCTCAGGGCTGTATTTTTGCAGTTTTACGAAGCTGTTCTACCTCCTTATTGTACCATAGTAGTTTCTTTGTTCTAGAATTATGCCATGTATAGTACAATGCAGAGCTAAAGGCTAATTATAATTTTTTCTGAGTGTAACCATGGTAAAATAATGGTGAGAATACATAAAACGCTTTTTTGACTGGTTTAAGTCATCGGCTGGCTTCTTCGCAGAGCAACAAAGGAGTTTTAGGTTGACTTAATTCGATGTTGGCCCCCGCTATTTTGTTTTGTTTTGTTTTTTTTTTTTTTTTTTTTTTTTCAAAGAAGCCAGCCGATGACTTAAGCCAGTCAAAGAAAAACTTTTTTGTATTCTCTCATTAACACAGGTAACAGCAAGTGTTTTTGTACAACAAACGTAACAACAACCACAGCCTATTCCACGATATCGAAAGAAAATTTGTGCGAACAAAAGCTAGTCACTCACTTTCGTATCACTATCATTCGTTCGTTCTTTCGCATAGACTCACAGCCAGTTCCACGATATCGAAAGAACACGTTCGGACAACTTTTACACGACAAACAGCTGATTTCCGTTCCACTAAAATTTATCAGAACGAAAATTTGCACGAAAATCAAAGCGAACGAAAACGTAAGCATTTCAGTGTAATTTTGCGTTCCACTATCTTTTTTCTTTCGTACGCATGCGAACACAAATGTCAAAATCAGTCACTTGTGTGTTTGCTATCGTATAATAACAATTAAGGAAAATTGTTTTAACATAAACATTGCTTGATTGAAAATGGAAACAATAATGTAAGTAAAAATAATAAATGCAATTTAATATGTGAACAACAAATATATATTTTTTTTATTTTCTCAATTCCAGCACGAAAAAATCATCAACTACACAGCTGCGGGCACTAGTTGAGTAAGTGGAGGAGAATCCTGTGTTCGCCAGAGGAACGCCAATTTTTGGAAGCAGCAGAAGAAGTTTTAAATCGGGGCGGATTTGGGTAGTTCTGCTACCGGGCACCCACTTCTCTTCCATCATATCCAAAAGAGCCCGAAAACTTCCTTCGACACACGAAAGTTGGCCACAAACCTAGAAAAAATCATTTTTATTATTTCAAAAATGTAAAAATACAATCATACTTACTGGTTGTTAGGTACTTCAAATAAATTCGAAGCATCTCTTAAATGCCTCCGTGGCACATTTCGAACCTCCTCCATAAAAATAGGGCTACGGAAATATTCTTTTTTTTATTTTCTAAGAGCACAAATAGTTTGAACACAATCACTAGAAATTTTATTTTGTTTGTTTATTTACAATTTGTTTGTTTACAACTGAAATGTCAGTTGAGACAGAGCCACTGCTGCTTTTTCGCGTTTAAATAAGACATTTGACGCTTTTTTTGCTTTATTTCGCGATTAATTTTTCCAAAAAAAATATTTAGCAACACTGAATCACGTAAGGCTATGCGAAAGAAAGAACGAAAGTTAGTGGAACGCATTCTTATACGAAAGTGAGTGAGTAGCCTTCGTTCGCACAAATTTTCTTTCGAGATCGTGGAACAGGCTGTCAGTGTTGCTAAATATACCTTTGAAAAAATTAATCGCGAAATTAAACAGAAAAGCGACAAAATGACAGATTGAATCGCGAAAATGCTGTAAAAAATACAACCATACGTAACATGGTAAAATAATATAGGTATACGCATCGACTCAGCTGCTGGGACAATAAACTGTCAAACCAATTTTGGAATTGAAAATGTTGAATGAAAAATTATTTCAATTTGTAAAAAAAATTGAAAAACGTGTATTATAATAACCTCCGAATGACGTCGTATGAGAAAACATATAAAAATCTAATTATATTTGTAAAGACATTTAAAATATTTTGACATATCAATGTTCCCAAGCGTTGATGCATTTACCTGTATTTTTCTACCATGATACGTAAGCTGGCTCTGCCTGACTTTGACACTAGCATTACTATAGAGACAAATCAGCTTGGGTTTGCTGCTACTTGTAATAATTATACCATGCACCCATAGCGTGAATAGAAGAATTCAAAGAGATTTGTCATAGAATAATGAATTGAAAAAAGAAATTTCATTCATTCTTCTGGATTTTTAGTTAATTTTTAAAAAAAATTTATGAGACACTTGTTGAACATAATTTTCAATAACACTGACCGAAAACGAAAGTACCATTAGGGTTGCACTTAAATATCATACAAAATTGTTTTACCTCCATATTGTACTATGTTTGTAACTATATGATATCTCAAATTACAATTACTTCTCAATTTACAGGCACTTCGGGAACAAGCAAAAAAGATGAATGTAGAGTCATTACGATCTAACGTAGACAAGAGTAAAGATACAGCTGAAATTCGTATTGCTAAAGCTGCAATTACAATATGCTTTCTATTCTTTGTGTCATGGACACCGTATGGCGTAATGTCACTGATTGGAGCTTTTGGCGACAAAAGTCTCTTGACACCAGGAGTAACAATGATACCGGCGTGTACATGTAAAATGGTAGCATGTATAGATCCATTTGTATACGCCATTAGCCACCCGAAATACAGACTAGAGTTACAGAAACGTTGCCCTTGGCTGGCTATTAATGAAAAGGCTCCAGAAAGTGCCAGTACCGCTTCGACAACAACACAGGAACAAGCACCACAGCAGACGACTTCGGCCTAAATACACATATTTATAAATACATAAATTTTTTAAAAGGAATATATATATAAAGATGACGACTTTGCCATGGATAAGGCTTACGATATATTCTACACTACAATCATGGAAAACAAACCTGGCTATTCTCTTTGGCGATCTCTAATAAACTGAACGATTAAGGAAACCCAAGCTATGGCTTTTTTGGTCAAGTTGGGTCATACACATGTGAAAACAGTATTATTCTTGTTTTGTAGCATATTTTATTATTTAATAAAATCTCAATTAGAATTTACCGCAAACTAAAAATACAAATGCTATATTCGTTTGGTGCAAAAATCTACTATTTTTACTAGAATACAATAATTCGCAAACAAATATCGCGTCCTTTTTTATACCCTCCACCATAGTATGGAGGGTATATTAAGTTTGTCGTTCCTTTTATAACACTTCAAAGTATACGTTTTAGATCCCACAAAGGATACTGTTTTTAGCGATGTCCGCCCGTCTGTCTGACCGTCTGAGAGAATCAATCTAGCTTCGGACCGACATGAAATAGGTTGATTAAACTTTACTCAGATATGTTTATGTCGGCAGGACTTTTGGTACTGAAAATGGGCTATATACATACACATTTTCATATAGAAATGGCTCAATAAGAAAGGTTTCTCAACTTCAAAGAAAGTACAAAAATTGAACTCTGTGCTGGAGTCTTATAGTGTCCAATAGACTTTTAAATATTCAATAGTTGGTTTTTTCATTTTTAACAAAATTCTTATATTGGGGAAAACCCGGGAGACGAGGATGGAATTTTGGGGTTATTCCACGAGATGGAATCTAAAATAGTAGGACAATACATGTTTATCCCAAAGTTGTACAATGTGTTGACCATCAACGTCGAAAATATGAATTTATTTTGCAACCGTATTTGAAATAATTTCAAATTATTGTATTTTTTATTCAAAACAATACACAAAATGTGTATATGTTTTGGCAGAATAAGGGCACCAAAAGAAAAAATTGTATTTAGGGGGTGTCTTTGTTCTACCTTCTGTAATTGTTCCATGAATATAGGCCCCTTATAACTGTAACGACAGATTTAAGAGTTTTTGGGTGTTTTAGTCTCAATTTCATACCGAATTTACTGTGACTATAGGAAACATTCCAGTATGTGGGAAACATTCTTCCCTCCAAGTTTTTATTTGTTTACATTGTATTTTGTGTGCCTCTCATCGTAGTCGAACGCCATTATTCATATTCAATAGAAAAAATACTTCTCCCGAAAAATCCAAAAAGAAACTAGAACATGAAAATGTGTCTGTCATTGAAAACACATCCTTTGGATGTTAAACCCTTCCCAGAGGATGCTCCACCAATCTTGACCTCTTTATAGTAAAAGAAAGTAAAAGCGCCTAAAAACTCTAAACTCTTGAATTATTTGAAATATTAGAAAAAGATACTTTTAGTGAAGAAGAGATAAACAAATTTGGTGTTGCATTTATTTAGGGCGAATTCAGCATTCAACAACTTGTTTTGACATTTAAAGGTGCCGTCAGCTGAGGTGATGCGACTACCTCGTACATCTACCTTGGCTTAAGTCATCGGCTGGCTTCTTCGCAGAGGAACAAAGGAGTTTTAGGCTGACTTAGCTCAATTTTGGCCATACGCTCCTTTGTTCTTTTCCGAAGAAGCCAGCCAATGACTCGTGGTATAATAAAATTAAGGTAACCTCATTTCAAATTAGCATTCCCTGCTCTGCATTTTCTGTAATTTACGTTGTCAAATTTCAGTCCAGATTTATGAATATAGATTTTGACAGTGAGATGTTGTCAAATATATAAAGTTGAAAAAAAAATGTAAGCATATGATTGCATGAATTTACCTTCTTAAGGTGAAAATACATACAACGCTTCTCTGACTGGCTTAAGTCATCGACTGGCTTCTTCGTAGAGGAACAATGGAGTCCTAGGTTGATTTAGTTCGATTTTGGCCCACACTCCTTTGTTCTTTTCCAAAGAAGCCAGCCAAAAAAGCTCTTTATGTGCTTGCAGCTTTAGGTCTACCATGCAATGACTTAAGCCCGTCAAAAAAAAAAAAAAAAAAAAAAAAAACATTTTTTTGTATTCTCACCTTTAGGTGAGAGCATGGTACAATGAAAAGGTGAGGTAGAGCTAACAACTGATTACAATTTTTTTCTAAGTGTATTTACTGTATTGAAAAATGAAAAATAACAGCACTACCTCCTTAATGTACCATGGGTGAGAGTACGCTTAAAGATAAGAATACACAAAACACTTTTTTGACTGGCGCAAGTCAACGGTTGGCTTCTTCGTAGGGAAACAAAGGAGTTTTAGGTTGACTTAGTTCGATTTTGGCTCTACGCTCCTTTGTTCTTTTCCGAAGAAGCCAGCCAATGACTTAAGCCTGTCAAAAAAACTTTTTTTGGTATTCTCATCTTCAGGGTGAGAATACATAAAACGCTTTTTTGACTGGCTCAAGTCAACGACGATGACTTAAGCCAGCCAGAGAAGCGTTTTATGTTGTCTCACTTTTAAGCCAGTCGAAACAGCGTTTTATGTATTATCATCCACTGGCTTCTTCGTAGAGGAACAAAGGAGTGACTTAAGCCAGCGGATGACTTAAGCGTATTCTCACCTAAAGGTGAGAATCCAAAAAACTATTTTTTGCCAGGCTTATGAACATCGAGAGCCTGAACAGAAAAATGTTCATGCATTCCTCCTCATCTTCACATAGCCTTTAATCAGTATAAAATATCAATAAATACATAAATATACACCCCAGTTCTCTGTTATACACGGGAGAAACGACCAGAGTCATTAAATTAATCTGAACTAACATTTTCTTTAATCAAAAATTAACATTATTTATTTTTGTACACATGTTACTTCTTTAAAAGAAATACAAAAAGTAAAGAAAGTTCCTTAAAAACAAATAGAGTCGAAGTACAAAGGATAATTTTGTACATATTACATAAGATATACAAAAACATATATCGTCTCATTTTAACGTTACATACATACAATGTATGTATAAACATGTTGTATGAATTTCTTCTAGCACAGAATAACAAGATAAACACGTATGCTACTTTCCAGTCAGAGCCGTGTGTAATTTTATCACTGCGAGGTAGTCATTATATGAAAGTTGTCCGTTTTTAGACTTATTTTGAACACGCTTAAGTTTCTCTTCAAGTTCCGGCCTGGACGAGACAATCGGTATACATTCATCCAAGTATCGCATAGATTCCCGCGACCAGAATGTTGACGGCAATTTGGAGTCCCGAACATTATTGCTATTGCCAGTACGAGTAGGTGGTTTTGCAATTTCTTTAAGCAATGTGTCACACGTATTCTTCCACTTTTCCGAAACTTGCTGCATTATGGCAGCGCTAACAGTAGCATTAGATGTTTTTTCCGGATTTATAAATGGAGGAGGAGGCATAATTTTCGTTTGTTGCTTTCTGCTTGCTTGACTGACTGTAGTTGCCGATGATTTCGTTTTCGATGGGGTGTTGCTTTGCTGATGGCTATCTGAACGCTGCGATTGAGTTGTCAATGTCTTTATCGGTGCAGAAGGTGGTGTCGACGAACCGCTCAAACCCGTGATTTGTTTGCGTTTGTTTAGCTTGGGAGTTTTTGGCTGATTATTTACAATATTGTGTTCGCCACTTTCACCAATTTCATTGATCTGAGTCCTTGGTTGTTCCAATTTCTCTTTCTGTTCCAAAGTAAGGCTTGTATCCAGTAGTTTATTTCCCAGTAATAATGGATCTATACTCAGTTTAAGCATTCGGTTTTTTAGTACCAAGTTATTGTAGGTCTTAAGCAAATCTTCGTAATTGTCGTGCCTATATGAAGAAAATATGAATTTCCAATGTGAGGATATCTCTGAACGTAACTGGTGCGGGGTAGCGTCGTCCGATTTATAGTCATTAATAAGCGTTTTTAAACTCAGCAAGAGTTTATCTAAATGAATGTTTCCATCTTGTAAACCAGCCTGACCCAACAGTATCATGTTTAGGGAACGTCGGATTTTATCAGCCTGTTTAAAACCTGCTTTTGACTGCTGTCGCTCCACATACTGCAGTCGTTTATATAAATGATTTGCATTGCCCAAATTTGTATTGAGCTGGTTGATGTCATCTCGTAAGAAACGAATTAGAACGTCGATGCGTTTGGGTATATTGGGCATAGACTGTATATTCTTTTGGGCTATTTGATCTGCTATTTCCCGATATTTCATCAGGAGCTCACGCTGAAATTTATCCTGATTACTTGGCAGACCAAAAATTACCAAAACGTGACCGACTGTTGTAAAGTCGAGACGAGCTTTCAAATCACATTCTTTGGACGACTTTGCCAAAAAATTACGACCCTCGAGAGACAACAAATATTTGGTATGAAACTGATCTAAATAAATTTTAGCCTCACAAGGTAGACCGTCTGTTTGACCCACTTCTTTCAACCTTTCAATACCATCATGACTTTCATCATCTGAGTCGGCAGCTACAAATTTATTTGAAATTCCTGATGGTCGGCGATTATCTGAACGTTGGTTGTCCACGACTGATTCGTCTCCATCAGTCCTCTCGCAATTTTTTGTGGAATCGACCAAAGGAATAAAATCTGGAAGTTCCTCCATTTCGCGAGGTTTAGGCCTGTCTTTGAAAATTGGCATTGTCCAAATTTTACTGGACGGTGCATTGGCATTCTCATCCTGTAACATTTCTGGCAGTTTTTCCACAGCTTGATTCTTTCCCCCACTTGACGACGTAGAGGGAACGTCAAAATGCTCAGAGAAACTGTAATTCGAGTCAGAGTCAGGATTTTGAGATTGAATGGTTGATAATGTTACATTATTGGGCGATTTAAAGCTTGAAAAAGTACTGTGGCCAGATACTGTCGGCGTTATAACATTCAGTTGAATGTCGTCATCGTTTTGAACGGTGCTCTCAACTTCGACTGTATCTCCTGTATCATCAGCTTTGGTATTGTTATCTTTTGCGCCCTCAATTTCGGTATTACCACTTTCACTTATTTCCTGAACCTTTACGAAACGAAACATAAAATGAGATGGTTACAGTTTGAAGTTTATATTATTAATTTAATTACCTGATTTGGAGCCTTGCTCTCACAATTCAACTTGACACTATCTCTCGATGATTTCTTCAACTTTTTCGCAGAAGTTTCCCCGCTTACATCAGATCGTCGTTTTCGTGGCAATAAATATGCCATTCCAACCGCATTTAAAAATCGTCCGTAATACTTTTCAGGATTCGTCCGTTCCGCCAAGCCAAAGGTATATTCTTGAGAAGGTTCGTACATTAAGTTGAAAGGAATGCCTCCGTGTAAAGGTTTCATTGACAAGTCGTTATATGATTTTTGGTGTGACTTGACAGTAGAAGCTATAGGAGGATACTCCATGAAATTCAATGCATTCCGACAAGAATCAGATAAATGCCCACGTTGTCCACAAATGCTACAATATTTTTTTGTGTTATATACAATATTATTTCGAGGAAATGCATTTGGTTCAGTCTGAACGGAGTAAAAAGAGCAACGTTACACACAATTAAGTCAATAAAAAGATTCATACATACCGTTGAATAATATCTACGCCATTTGTCGGGACAAAAATCTATGGAGTGTCCCCTAATCTTGCATATTGGGCACATTAAGCGATTTTGGAATGAACAGGCATTACAGCCCTTAATATAAACGTGAGTTTTATTGCCACACTGAAAAAGAGATTCCAATAAAAATTAAATGCAATGGCATATGCTCCGATAAACGTTATTTATGCTTATCAATATGAAGAGCAAACCTACCCGTAGGCAAATAGTGTTGGGGCATCGTGGTTCCTGATGACCACTCTCTCCGCACATGTAGCAAATTAAGGGTTTTTTGGGGCGTTTACATTGTGCCCTTGCATGGCCAAAATCGCAACAATTTGTACATTTTAAATTGCTATACCGCTTAGTTGACTTGCTGAACCGATCTTCGGCATATATCCTCCACAAGCTCTTATCCGCTAAAATAAATCAATTCAAATGTAGTAAAGTTTGGATTATTAAAATGAGCATGCATAACTTACGATTCATTTTATTCCAAACGTGAGTTAAAATAAAATTCTCTCCATTCCAAGATTCTTCATAAAACTTTCTCATTTCGCTGTTCCAACCAATGCCACTTGATATATTATTGCCACTTATATACACAACGTTGTAAATTGGTGAGCCATTTTTTGATCTCTTTGGTCTTTTATTGTCCACTTGAGACCTATCTGCCACGTACGTAATGATTTGCACTTTATCATCAGTGGGCAGCGTCTTATAAACAATTGGAAGTGTACCTGCAGCGTTTTCGTTGTGATTCTTCGAATTTTCGTCCCGTTCTTTATCGCCTGATGGCTGTTTTTCTTGTTCCTTCTCCGCCATTTTATCGATAGTATTGAAGACATCACTTAAATCATGTCGAGCACTTTTAGGTACAGCTGGGTCCGTATTCTTTGTTGTGGATTCAGAACTTTCACCAAGTATTTTTTCTGCTATGTCTCGTGCAGACGGTGCCTTTTCTGCTTCATCGCTTTCTTCGCCTTCGTTTGCATCATCACCATCTTGGCCCTGGACTAAGTTATTGAGCTTTGCAATAAAATCACCATCCGACATATGACCTTTAGAAGCAGCAGCTTTAAATGTTTTGTGAGGTGCTGGAGAACAGCTTAAGAGCGTACGGCTGTTTTTGCGGATTTTTCGCTCTACAGCAGGTCCCCGAGAAATAAATGGTATTCCTGTACGTTCTGTACCAGACCCAATTCCATCATCCCCATTTTCGTCATTACTATTTTCACTACTAGACTGTGTATTTTCATAATTTACATCAGACCCTTTATTGCTACTAGAGGCTCGGCGTTTACGAAAACGTTTCGTGCGTGTAGAGTGAACAAATGAAATGTCTTCAACTTCATCTGAGCTTGAATCTAATTGACGTATAACAGTCGTTTTGGCGGTTCCTTTAGAGTAGACGCTGTCAGTAATATCTGATTCACTTTCGTACACATCCAAAGCTCTAAACTGAGTTTGCTCTACACGATAGTTGTTCCTATTAGATTGCTCGTTCGCTTTAGGCGGTACAAATGCCAATGAGTCGCTGGTCTCTGCTTCGTCGTCGACTGTCTTGGAAGAACTTTGCTTCTGAGGCGCCTCCATCAAACTGTTAACGTCAGAAGTCAACAACAAAAGATCCTCGTCATCAGCAACGCCACTCGCATTGTCTAATAGACGACTACGGTCCATCTGACCGATAAAATCATCCGATGATTGAATTGAACACGGCGAAGTGCAGCGAGATGTATTTTCGAGACGCTTATCTGCTGAATCAGAGTTCGATGTGTTGTGTATTGAAGTTTGCTGAGTTGGCTTTATGAAACTGCTTGAAGTTGACATATCTACGTCAGTTGAATCCAAAGCATTTTCTTCAGGTTGCAACATATTTGAATTCGAAGACAACTTATTTATTACATTCTCATCTTCGTCGCTGTCTTCTACGGTAAAAGTTGGTGGGGGAGGTATTGGAATCATTACAACATCACTACTATCAGATTCTTCACTGGAAATCAGTTCGATAATATCAGTGGTTATTAGTTTTTTTCCTTTTAACTTCTCTTTTGCCTTCTTGGACTTTTGTTTCTTGTCTTCAACTCGTTTAATTTTTTGCATTTTTTGTTGTTGTTTGAAAAATGGGCCTTGCTTAGTGTTTGCAGCGTTAACACTTTTCAGATCTTTGTTGTTTGCTTTATCAGATATAGCCATTTTATTTCTTTTCGACCAATCCGCTACTGGATTAAGTCTTAAATTTGGATTATGTTTGGGTTTTTGCATTGTAGCCGACTTTGGTTGTCCATGTTTGTTAATCCTATTGACAGATTGTTCATTTGACGAATATTCTTGGGCGACCTGCGACTTACTATTGATATTCGTATCAACCAAGGCAGATTCTGAAAAATTAGAAACTATAATGTAACAACAATTAAAAATCAACAAGTTATCCAACGTAAATAGTTTGAAAAAAATATTTTAAAGAAAATTTTTTGAAATTACATTATATTGTCTACAATTTGTAATTATTTAGCTCGATGTATTATTGCTCAATTGAAGCGACAAATTGACATTTATGGTGTAAAAATAATTTACAGCGTAAATGTTTCGAAATTTTTATGTATGTTTTATTAACCTAAAAAGAGATTGCCCCGTTTTATTAAATAATTTTGTTCTGAGCGATGTAAAAAATAAGCACATTGTAAATATGGACTCAATGGAATAACGATTAGGAATGAAATTAAGGCAAACATAAGAACGCCGAACGAATTTGTTATATTATACGCTTGTCTGAAATCTTTAAATCTTTAAATCTTGAAATTTTATTATTTTATTCTATGAGAACATTATTTAATTTGTGATACAATGTCACATTTCATTAAAATTTAATAATAAATAAGGCCACTACTTGGTTGAACGGATATGCATAAATGTCCTACTGCCTCACTCGAGTCTCTTTGCATTTTGTCAACTACCTGCGTAACCCAAAAAATCGAAGTCCAATACATTTATGGAAAAACTCTAGTTTAGGGCTTCCTTGCTTTCATTACGCAAATATATGCACAAAAAGCCTTGCGAGCTCTATTTTTAAAGTCCGTATGACGAAAGTCAATACTTTCCGACATTTCGGTCTCTGGCGGGGAATTAAAGGCTTTCAACTTTGGCCAAATTTCAACACCCCTTGTGGCAAAATGTCATTTTAAATAAAAAAGTAGGTGTAGAAGTATGGACTTCTTTATGAAACGAATTTGTACTGACTCATATTGGATGAATCGGTTTAAAAACTATAAAATAATTAAAGACATATTTTAAAAAGAAATGTACCTACCAGCATCATTGTTATTTCTAGTAACTACCTTGTCAGCGATTTGTTTTCTAGTTGACTCTTGTCCACTGTGCACGGGGATACTTAATTGTGGTTTTTGATTGGGATGCTGGAACGTACATTGTTGTTTTACTTCATTATGCTGTTGCTTAGACTGATGGTAATTTTGTGGTTTCGGTTTAAATGCGGGAGTTTCCTCACTGGTCCAATAACGTTTTGTTGGTCCTCTGTTTGCCTCCGAACAGATAGTTTCATGATGTTCTTGGTTGTTTCCGTCATTTTGAATTATCTTTTGGGCATCTAAGGAATTTACCTCATGTTCATGTTGATGATGTACCTGAGCATATAAACGTGCCTCCAATTCATTAAGGTCTTCCACATTGTCAAAATCAACCTGTAATTATTCAAATTAATTACACCATTTGGACACCTAATTTCATAATGATTTACCTCATCCATTGCCTACTCTTTGTTCTCACATTAATTTGGAGTTTCACGCTGTTTTTAAAAGAAGAATAACTCTTTTTTGTATTATTTTTTTCATTAAATATTTTGACAGCAGCAAGAGACAACAGAAAACAAAGCCACGCACATTTACTCTCAATGATTTGCAAATAGTACAGAGTCAAACATTCAGTATTTTGACGGCGAATGCTAAAATTGTATACAATCAAACAGGTCAATATATCTCTGCAATTTGTCCTAAATGTAGAAATCACAAAGCAATTGCTTTGAAAGAGTTCAATTTTTTGCCAAAGATATTTGTTTAAGGTTCTTATTAAAGTTTGTTTAGAAAACTTTTATGAAATTCTAAGTTCACATTACACGTGATTCGCTCTCTATTCGTTGTTCGACCATTAATTATGAAATATCTACTTGATTCCCCACACAAAATTTTCTGAGGGAACAAATAACAAAATCTTTGTTCTTTGTTACATTCAAATCACCATTAAAACCATGGTACAATGATATCAAGGTAGGGAAATTTTTTTTATTTTCTTGGCCTAATACGTCATCTTTTTTTGTTTATGTATGTGTTTTCTTTTCAATAACAAAAAAATTGTTCAGAAAACTTTCAAATTCGGGTGTTTTCAAAACGTTCATTTCAACGCATGCATCGACGCATAGAGATATATAGTACATGATTTTGAAAAGAAGTGTTGACCTTTAATTCAGTTATCGCGGTTTTCAATTATTTATTCAAAATAAATGCAACAAGCTGTTTGATGTTTTATTGTTTTGATACTAATTCTGACATTACAAGCCAAACAGGTAGACCTCTATACTTGCAATTTTTTCAAAGTTGACCTACCTTCTCTTCATTGTACCATGGTACAATGATATCAAGGTATGGCTATGATACCATATGATTTCAATTTTTTTATTTTCTTGGCTTAATATGTAATATTTATTTGTTTATGTATGTGTTTTCTTTTCAATAACAAAAAATTGTTCAGAAAACATTCAAATTCGGATGTTTTCAAAATGTTTATTTCATCGTATGCATCGACGCATAGAGATATATAGTACATGATTTTGAAAAGAAGTGTTGACCTTTAATTCAGTTATCGCGGTTTTCAATTATTTATTCAAAATAAATGCAACAAGCTGTTTGATGTTTTATTGTTTTGATACTAATTCTGACATTACAAGCCAAACAGGTAGACCTCTATACTTGCAATTTTTTCAAAGTTGACCTACCTTCTCTTCATTGTACCATGGTACAATGATATCAAGGTAGGGCTATGATACCATATGATTTCAATTTTTTTATTTTCTTGGCTTAATATGTCATATTTATTTGTTTATGTATGTGTTTTCTTTTCAATAACAAAAAATTGTTCAGAAAACATTCAAATTCGGATGTTTTCAAAATGTTTATTTCATCGTATGCATCGACAAAATCTAGAGTTTTTGTAGCGAAATAATCCTTTAGAGATATATAGAACCTGGTTTTGAAAAGAAGTGTTGACCTTTCATTCAGTTTTCGCGGTTTTCAATTATTTATTCAAAATATCCTTTTCTTCATTGTACCATGATTAAAACTACGACGTCCCTAGCATATGAGACCATTTATCGAAAAAAAAAATACATTTTAAAATTTATATCAGAAACATTTAATGAAATTTTAAAATTTTTCAGAAAGACTGAAAATTATGTATGAAATATACGCTGTTGAATGGCGGTGGTGCATTCAAACGAAAGCAAATTTTGTTTTCTCCCTCATCCGAGGTACGTTTTTAGTTCACGAGTTGAAATTTCGACGGAAAACTGGAAACAAAAGAGGAAATGTTTTCCAAATTTTCTTATCGACAAAAAATTCTTTTACAAGTGACTCTCCAACAGAATTTAAAAATAGAATAATACAAAAATATATGTAAATTGTCAACATTTATACAAAAACTTCAAAACATGAATGAATATTGGTAAATGAAAGATAAAACAAATCTTTGGAGGAAAAACAATAATTTCTTCTATTGTTATTAATGCTAATTTATGGTCTGTTCCAGATCTATTAGAATTTTTTACTACGATAACCGATTTTCCCTTTATGAAAATTTTCTGGGCATTCATGTAATTTCGTACAAATTCCTAAAAAATCAACAAACAAAAAATTTGAAAAAAGGAATTATGTTACTATGAATTACTAATCGTGCCGTATGAACAGAATTATTCGTGTACCTAATTCTGAGAGCAAACAACGTGATTGAAAGCGCATATGAGAACATAGCATTATCTATGTTACAGAACCTGCGAAAATCTACTAGTTTTGCCATTTTTTCCGATATCATAAGGGGAAAAGCGGTTATCGTACTAAAAACTGTTACATTGTTGCAGTTTTGGAACAGACAGACAGCAGATGTCATCTATGTCGTTTCAGGGATATAAGTGAAAATAACAGTCACTGAAATATAGAATGTTAAAAAATCATCAACTGTAGGACATTTGGCAATTAAAAACTATTCCATAATTAGTGTGGGTGTACTCATTAATGTCGATAAAAATAGCAAAGCTAGCAGAATCTTGTCGTTTCTGAAAGGGATCATTTATGGAATATGCAACGAATATTTTGTTAAATTATTGTCAAAAGTACTCTTCTTGGCCGATATTATATAGGCTTTGAGCAGAATAAATAGAAATTCCATGTTGAAAGGTATAAAAAGTAATGTAAGAGAATTTCATATGGCCTGTTTAAGAACTGCAAGAATGTATAAGTGTTTGGAAGAATAACCGATTTTCCCTTTATGACATCATGACCGTGACGATGTTCAAAGACTGTGATCTATTAATATTAAGTTATTAACAATTTATTTTCTTTTTGTGGCTTGTTTTGTGAGAATCCAACTTTAATTGCCATAAATAATAAATTAATGGTTTTTTACATGGTGGTTGTTCAATTTCAAAATGCGCATTGATCTAACAGACCAACTAATTACTTACAGTTTAAGATAAGTTTTATAAATATAAAGTTTTCCTATAAAACAGAATAAAACTACCTTATTAGTGAGAAATATGTTACTATACCTATTTATTTTCAAAGTCAATAATACTAAAAACTAAAACTAGTACAACTTTTTACTAAGATAACAGATTTTCCCTTTATGATATAGAAAAAAAAATTGCAAATCTAATAGATTCCCGCAGCTTCTGGAACAGAGCATTATTGAAATAAACAGAACTAGCGTGTTGAGCCTCGTTATATGTCAAGGTAGAAGAATATAGGTAGACGCATCGACACAGCTGCTGGGACAATGAACTGTCAAACCAGTTTTGGAATTGAAAATGTTGATTAAAAATTATTTAAATTTGTAAAAATTGTTGAAAAACGCGAATTATAATAACCTCCGAATGACGTCGTATAAGAAAGCGTGTAAAAATCTACTTATATTTGAAAGAACATTTACATTTTTTTGGCATATCAATTTTCCCATGCGTTGATGTATCTACCGGTATTTTTCTACCATGTTATATGTTATATATAATAATTTATCGATACTGAACGCTTGCCTATGGTTGCTGTTTTATCGATAATATTCAATGCGTAAAATTGGCCAACGTGCTTATTCTGTTAATCCCTTAAAGCAAGTCACGCAATAACTTTCGTTATAGCATAGAGTTTCAAAAAATTTTCCCGAACCTAAAAAAATTTACAAATTCTACGACGATAACCGAGTTTCCTTTATGATATGGAAAAATATAGTACCAATGGTACAATTAAAGGATAAAAAATTTTACTATTTGTTGTTGTTGTAGACTATTGTATATGTCTTCACTGATTTGAAAAATAAATACAATATATTTTGAAATGCAATGCTAGTAAGATACAGAGTTGCCATGGAATTGAGAGCTTAAACAAATAAATGAAAACAACTTGTTGCTTATAATTTCGAATATTTCAGACAGGAAGCGGGAATTTTCTCAGGGCTGTATTTCTGTAGGTTTACAATTAATTGGTACTAATTTGAAGGTTGTGGAACACAACTATTGGGTTTTTAAGACTGCTATCGATCCATTAAGTGTCGAGCTATATATCCCTATTATTGACATCTATAAAATTACTCATCAGCGAATAAACGTCAAACTGCAAAAAAATAGGAAAATATATTACGGATAATCATTTTTGCGTATTTTAATGATTAAAAAGGCATACTAGAGCCCGTCAGAAGTATAATCCACAGATCCCAATAACATTTATTGCAAATATGCTGCCAGCAGGAGAGGAGGCACAAATAACAAAATTATTGTCTAAGGTGAGTTAGTAGTGAGGGGGAAAGATCCATAGACAAAGGAAATTACACATAGATTTGTTTTTTTTTTTGTGCTGAGGCAGCCAATTATAATTGTTTACAATTTGATAATATGATCTGAATTATCTTTATTTTTTTGCAGTATAAACATATGAATGCTACTAGGAAAGAAGTCATCGACGTGGTCACAAATTATCGAAGTTTAACATATAAATTACAAAAGTTCGGTACGTATTGCATGATATTTTCAGAAACAAAAACTTTATGGCATTCTTCCAGTTTTTAATGATGGCAGTTCAAAAGACCTATTCAATTTGCAAGGAACCATACCGGTGGTCTATAAAAGTAAGTTTTTTTTTGTTATGTCTTATAGTTTCAATGTTTTAATATTGTTAACATTTAGACAACACATACTACATTCCAATTTGTATTTGGTTAATGGATACACATCCAATGAATGCACCTATATGCTACGTTAAACCTACACCAACAATGCAAATCAAAGTTTCGATGTATGTGGATCATAATGGACGTATCTACTTGCCATATTTGCATGACTGGCAACCAGTGAGTTCGAGACACGCAATTTAATTCTTATCTGAGTAAAAGCAATTTTTAATTTTAGCATTCTAGCGATTTATTGTCATTAATACAGATAATGATTGTTGTTTTTGGCGATTTCCCGCCTGTGTACTCCAAACCTAAGGATCAAGTCGCACCATATCCAACATCTGGTACGAATGATGGCATACTTGTATTAATTAATAATCTATGAATTTGTTTATGTTATCAGGTTATATACCACCAGCAGGTCCAAATGCATCATCTACATCAGGGGGATCTTATAATCTACCATACCCAACTAGTGGTGGGTCATTTCCACCATATCCCCCTGCAAGTGGAAATAGTTTCGGTGGTTTTCCACCATACCCTGCACCTGGAAATGTAATGCCTGCCACCACTTCTGGTCCGAGTTCTGGCTATCCTCCATACATGAACTATCCACCTGGCGCTGGCTATAATTCAGGATATGTAAATAACTTTTTCAACCTATTTTTCAGAAATACATAAATATAAAACGTTTCCCATTTACAGAACCCTTCGAATACAAGTTCAACGGGAACGATTACAGAAGAACACATTAAGGCTTCTCTTATGAGCGCTGTCGAAGACAAAATAAGACGACGCCTGCAAGAGAAAGTAAATCAATATCAAGCTGAAATTGATACATTAAATCGTACCAAACAAGAATTGGTAGAAGGCAGTGCAAAAATCGACTCCATAATATCTCGCATGGAAAGAGAACAGGTGAGTTTGAATATGTCAAAGATTTTAGAGAATATAATGATGACATTTGATCAAAATTTGTATATATAGATTGATTTGCAGAAAAATATAAATATATTACGCGATAAGGAAGAAGAATTGGAAAAGAGCTTAGAATCTTTGGAGTCTTCAGATGGCATTGATCCCGATGAAGCAGTAACCACTACTGCTCCATTGTACAGACAGTAAGTATAAGTTCATAGTGATTAATATTGTGATAGGTCATAGTTTATCATTTTTGAATTGTGTTTTATGTGACCACTAACATAAATGTACTGCTGCTTAATTTGTTCAAAATTTTCAAATTCGGTATTAGAACGTAAGAAAATGAATTTCAGAGCAGTATGTATAGCAACCTCAATATCTGAGATAATTGTATATGTTATTTTAAAGTTGACTCAGTATAACTTTAACGAAATGATAAAATAATAAGTATTAATTACGAATTCGAATAACATACATTAGTTTCGCATTTTGCGTTACCGTTAGTTTCAGAATGTTCTGTATTTTAAACTACTAATGGATAGAAAACCATTTTGCCGAAAATTTTCTCACTTTCTGGCATTTGTTGATTTAATTTTTAATTTTTGCATCGAAAATTCAAATTCTTTGCACTTTTCTTGGTAATTTAATTTTTAAAATTTAATGAATTTAAAGAAAAATGTCAACGCTGAACTTTTTGTGTAAAACCCAAATCAGACCCTAAGTTTTTTGTTGCAAAAAGTTCTTGGAATAACCCCCATATAAGTGTAGCGCCTTGGACTTGGTATACAATTCGTTTTTAATGATGATAAACGCTATTGATTACATATTTCATCCTCCACTTCATTTTGTTTTCTTTATTTTCCAGACTACTAAATGCTTATGCCGAAGAAGCTGCTACAGAAGATGCCATTTACTATTTGGGAGAAGCTTTGCGGAGCAGTGTCATCGACCTGGAGACATTCTTAAGACATGTGCGTCAATTATCACGCAAGCAATTTATGTATCGAGCCCTAATGCAAAAATGCCGACAAAAGGCAGGACTTGCTGGATAAAAGATTGAACGTATTAAATATATTAATTCAAAAACTCCATTTACACAATGGACATGAGTTTATTGTGATCGATAGGACAGTGTTTCCAAAACAGTAACACTGTAAAACCATAATTATTGTGGAATTATTCGTTATTTAAAATATTCTAAATATACTATTATGCGTTTGTATTAAACAAACTTAAATATACTCTGACCATCTCATCATTATTTGTATAACATATCCACAATTTTCTTTGAGTAGTTCTGTTTTCATAATTGCTAAACCATGAAGTACTGGAAATGTTTTTGTATTTATAGTTTGCTTAGCTACGCCTTCATGTTCGCACACAGAATCCAGCATCGAATAAACTTGAAGTCACTTGTTTTAATAATTGTTTAAAGACTAAGTTATCGAGATTTTATATATTGAATCTAAACTTAATAAAAATCACAATAAAAACATTTGGTTAACTTTCGGGTAACCTCACAAATTGTTGAAGAAGGGGACGTAATTCATTTAACCACCAATAAAACATCTATGAAGATTATGGGCTCTTAAACAAAAATGGTTGGTACAAAGAAGTGAATACACATATCTTATTGTTTATTAGAATTCTTAAATACGTACACAATGGAATCTTGGCGAAAATAAGAGCAGTTATATTTTTCGGAAACTGGATTTATATATAAATACCGACAGCTAACATCAAAAACATTATTCCGAATCCCAAAAACACTGATCCACATAAGCTGATGGCTAGTTCTTTGAATAGGGTCTTCTCGTTCTTGACATTCTTAGGTCGTGAAACAACGAAAATGAAGAACCAAGCGGTAAAGAATGTCCCAATGATAAGTAAAACAGTAGCTAGATGGGGAAACACAGCTGGATTTATGGGAGAAATATAGCGTTGCATGGTAGATTCCACTAAAAAAGATTTGTTGAAAGAGTTCACATTATGCTTTTTATTAACATTGCAATATTTTTTACTTACTTTTTTGTGAGATTTGTAAAACAAATTGCTTTACGTGTCCGGTGAGTGGATAAATCGCAAGTAAACGAACATCGATTTTTTTATAACTCATCGATGTTTTAACAAATATTATCGATTTTCCGTTTAAAGCTATTTGGTCACACCTCAAATCGTATTCTAAAATGCAATGTGTATTATAAGATGATCGTTTTTGTTGTGGCGTTATCTGGAAATTGGCCAAGTTTCAACTTTCTAAAACCAAAAAAAGATGATCGTTATCATTAAAGCCTGATAGTACAGTTTACCGCATTTTGTAAACACACTGTTCGTAACATTTGAGACCGTGAGCAAGTCTCTCTCATAATTTCAATCTGTTTTTATTTTAAACATTCCGCTCTCTCATTCACGCAATGTAGCGTAATCACATACGTCACCGTTAAGTTAGAACAAGACAACAATAGTTCTAAGTATACCATGTTAACCATTCGCTTTGTACACCTATCACAGAAAGAAGAAGATTCAAATAAAGAATTACTTACCATGGTACAATGATATCAAGGTAGGGCTATGATACCATATGATTTCAATTTTTTTTATTTTCTTGGCTTAATATGTCATCTTTATTTGTTTATGTATGTGTTTTCGTTTCAATAGCAAAAAAATTGTTCAGAAAACATTCAAATTCGGATGTTTTCAAAATGTTTATTTCATCGTATGCATCGACAAAATCTAGAGTTTTTGTAGCGAAATAATCCTTTAGAGATATATAGAACCTGGTTTTGAAAAGAAGTGTTGACCTTTCATTCAGTTTTCGCGGTTTTCAATTATTTATTCAAAATCAATGCAACAAGTTGTTTGATTTTTTATGGTTTCATACTATTTCTGACATTACAAGCCAAACAGGTAGATCTCTATACTTGCAATTTTTTCAAAGTTGGCCTACCTTCTCTTCATTGTACCATGTTACTTACTAGCATGGTAGAAGAATATAGGTAGATGCATCAACACTTGGGAACATTGATATGTCAAAAATTTTAAAGTGTTTTGTGAAAAATAAGCAGGTCTTTATATCTTTTCTTAAACGACGCAAATTTTAAATTGTAATTGTAACTTTTATTAATTTCCGAAATTGGTTTGACAGTTCATTGTACCAGCAGCTGGGTCGATGCGACTACCTGTATTCTTCTACCATGCTTACTAGTAAACACATGGTCAAATTAAAAAGGTAAAGCATATCCACTTTTGCATTTTCTATAATTTACTTTGTCAAATTATGCTGAATAAAAAAGATGTTCCCGTCACTGATTTATCTGTATACAATGCTGTCAAACGAATAACTTAAAAAAATTGTAAAGATATGATTGCACGACTTTACGTTCTTAATTCTACCAAAAGTAAACAGCGGGGATTACATTTGCAAATGCATATTTGTCAAATAAATTCTTATAAAGCTGTTTACATACAAATCATGGTAGAAGAATATAGGTACAAGCGTCGACGCAGCTGTTGGGACAATGAACTGTCAAACCAACTTTGGAATTGAAAATGTTGAATGAAAAATTATTTAAACATATAAAAATCTACTTATAGGAAACATATAAAAATCTACTTATATTTGCAAAAACATTTAAATTTTTTGACATATCAATGCTCCCAAGCGTTGATGCATCTACCTGTATTCTTCTGCCATGATACAAATTCTAAGCTTACCATGGCACCATAATCACAAGGTAGGGCAGAATGATTGCATTTGAAAAACACAACCCTGAATAACAAATGCAACTTTTTTTAATTTGGCACTATTCTCCCAATATTTTATATAAAATAAAAATTATTTTATATAAAATAATTTAACAAGTTGTCAAATCTTGCGTAGTGATATATGATATTTTTGAGTTTGCAACGGGTTTTACCTCCGGCGGCAGAACATTGTCTGTATAGGTCCACGTTTTCTCGTAGCACCAATATAACGATACCTCTCGATGTTAAGTATTTTGAAAATTTTAGTCACATTTTTCCACGGTATCCAAGTTTGGTTTTAAAATTTTGTAGTGGGTTCTACCATTTGTGGCTTAACATAGTCTGTATGGGACCACGTTTTATTATAGCACTCATATAACGGAACCTTCGGATATTCGGTATTTGACATCTAGCAACGAATTTGTCTAAAATTTGGTGTTTGTAGTTCGTAATGAGTTCTAGCTTCGGTGGCTGAACGTTGTCACTTTTTTTTTAATTTGGCACATATATTTTGTAACGGGGCTTAGCTCCTGTAGCATATCATAGTCTATATATAGGGTGATAAAAAAACTGCAACAAAGTCAAACGTCATAATTTTTACATTTTTTTAATTTTATTGAAAGCAAAAATGTCGGAAATAGCATTAAATTTTAGAATAAGTTTAGATATTTTCGAATTGGTCACTTTTGGCAAGAATTATGGCCTTCAAACGGCCAATGAAACCGTCATACGCTGCCCGAATGTTGCTCTGCGGTATTTTGGCCCATTCCCGGCGAAGCGCTTGCTTTAGGTGCCAACCTTGTTTTCCAAAATACTCCAGACACAGTAGTCCAACGGATTGGAATCCGGAGATTTTGGTGGCCATTGTGCGCTGGAAATCATGCGAGGAACCTATTTTTTTAACCATTCTTGGTTACAATGTCCAAGGTCTGCGGCGAACATGTTTGCGTGTCCAAGGCTTTAAATACACCCTCCAGAATATTTTCGCGATAATATTCGGCATTTATTCTGATGCCACGGTCGATTAATACGAGCGAGAGTGACCATCGGCTTGGCCGACGACTAAGTTCTCATGGCGAAGCGAAGGTGCACATTTTCAGCTGACCTCTTTGGCAAGTAAACACGATCATTTTGTTTGTTTACAAACTGCTGGACAACGAATGTTTTCTCATCGGAGAAAACCAAATTCTGCTGTTCATCACTTTCGGCCAGGCGAAGAAACTCGTTAGCTCTTTTGAGTCTATTTTCTTTCAGTTGCGGTGTTAGTTCTTGCACTTTTTGCAATTTAAATATTTGCCGAATGGAATATTGCGATATGTTCAGCTCACGATCCATTTTTCGGCCACTGCGACGCGGGCTTCGATCAAGTCGCTTCTTTACTTTTGGAACCATTTCGGACGAGTGGCTTAGAAATGACAGCTATCTAAAGTTGGTTGCAGTTTTTTCATCTCACCCTGTATAGGTGCAAAATTCCATACAATTAGGCCTTAGATGAACAAAACAGTACGTTTGCGGTAGTCTCAGTCGTTGATTAGACTTCAACGAATGTAGACATGCGTGGGGGATGCATGCATTGTTGCTCCGTTCACATTAAGAAAACAAATTATAGATAGCTTTTGTAGAAAAATATAAATATATGGAGTTTATATTTAATGTTTTTTGATAATTTTGCTAACATAAAATTAAAATTCTTGCTACAAAACGTCCAAAACAAGAAGGGAGATATTTTTTACGTGCTTTTTGGTTTCTCTCACACACACAAGCGCAATGTTCATTTTGTGCATCATAGAATTATTCAAATCGGAAGAAGATATATATGGGAGCTATATCTAAATTTTGACTGATTAGCTCCAATTTCAATAGGGTTCGTCCTTGGGTCAAACGAATTACTTGTGCTGTTCATCTGGATCGGACAATAAATGCGACCTGTACTTTGTTTACAAAAATACATGGACATGCAGACGGACGGATATGCATAAATCGACTCAGAATATGATTCTATCTAGATTATCAAAAGGAACTATGGGTCCATCTCGTAGGTTTCAAAACATTGTTAATTTTTGTTCAACATTTCCATATAACTGTACAAACCGATATTTTGATGATCCTAGCCACATTTTTTCTGAGTTCTACCAACTAATAAAGTTGTAAAATATAGCGGGTATTGTGGAGATTTTGACATTTTTCAGCTGGTAAATCTGGGGGTTTGATCCTTAAAGGCGGACCTAAAATAAAACGTCATTCGAGGCCTACACAAGAACTTAAATCACCGAAAACGTCTCCTGAAGATGAAGGGATTGAAATCTTTATCTTTATATCTTTATCTTATCCATATTTAAGAAAGGTTGGTCAACTTCAAAGGAACTAGAAAAATGTAACTCTGTGCTGGAGTCTTATAGTGTCAAATAGACTTTTAAATATGCAACAGTTGGCTTTGTTTATTTTTCATTTTTTAACAAAATTCTTACATTGGGGAAACCCCGCTAAACAAAAATGTAATTTTGGGGTTATTCCACAACTTTGATTTAAAATAGTAGGACAATACAGTTTTATCACAAAATTTAACATTTTTTTTACCAATTTACGTCGAAAATTTGCATTTATTTTGAAACCAAATTTGAAATAATTTCAAATTATTGTATTTTTTATTCAAAGCAGTGATATAATGTACACAAAATGTATATATGGTTTGACAGCATAAGGGTACCAAAAGAAAAAAATTGTATTTGGGGGGTAGCATGATCAATGCCTGCAAGATCGCCTCAGCATCCCGTGTACCAGTTGTGATTCCTTGTTTCCCATACGCCCGCCAAGACTCATTCAAAATTATTGTTTTAATTTTTTTTCATATTTTTCCTCATTTTTAAAATGAGTGAAATAGCACGAAAAATTAATAAAATGTCTGGATTTTTCTCTCAAAAATATGATCCTAACTGTTCAATCTTTCAATTTCATGTCTATACTGGTTAATAGCTTTAATGCGCGAGCCGCAATTCACGTGTCTTCCAATCATTGATTGTGAAAATATTTTTTTCTCATATTTCAAAACAATAAATACATACACAAAATTGGCAGAAGTGGGGCACACTTAGAAAAAAATTGTAATCAGCTGTTAGCTCTACCTTACCTTTTAATTGTACCATGATTATAACTATGGACTTGCATGCATCTCAAATTCAGGGTTTCTTTGATATTCCCGTGGACAATCTTTATGCCGAACCAGCTGTTCTGAAATGGATCAAGGAGAACATCGATTATTGTCTCACCCGGTGCTGGTGGTGCTAAACATGTGACGTCCATTGCTGATCGTTTGAATGTTGAATATGCTTTTATTCACAAAGAACGCTTCTACGGTGCTTGTCGGTGATGTTAAAGATAAAATTGCCATATTGGTCGATACATGCGGTACAATTGTACGTGCTGCCGATCGTTTGGTAGAAGCAAGTGATACAAAGGTTTATGCTATTTTGACACAAGGTATCTTTTCGGGACCAGCAATTTCCCATATAAATAATGCCTGCTTTGAGGCTGTGGTTGTTACAAATACAATTCCTCAGGATGGTCACATGAGAGAATGTCTTAAAATACAGTGCATTGATGTCTCAATGATGTTTGCCGCGGCCGTTAGAAGAACACACAACAGCGAAAGTGCTTCTTATCTCTTCTCAAATGTTCCATATTAAGGAAAATCATTTATTTTTATAAATTTGTTTAATTTTTTTAAAGGATTATATTTTTTATTTTAATCACCATATTTTATATATAAATACCTCAATATTTTTGTTCATACTATCTTTCGTACAATCTTATTTTTTCTTAACACAATATTTTTTTAAGGATAACAAACTAAATTTTTGGTCTACCATTTGCCATTGTCGTTAGACTATTATGTATTTTTTATTTGAAATATTTTTAATTATAAAAATATGATTTTTTATTAAATGAAAAAAATATCTTTAAAAAATAAATCTATTGTACATACACAAATCAGAGATGGGAATCTGTTTTTATGTAGAAAAATGTGACAAGGTAAGTTAAATAAAATGCAAAGATGGGTATGCTTATTTGAAATGACTTTACCTTCTTAATTTTACCATGGTTCTATACATGGTAGGCTAACTTGTAAAAAGTTGCACGTAACCAGGTCTACCTGTAAGGATTGACATTTCAGAATTATTATTTGCATTGATTTTGCATAAATAATATGCGTTGATTTTTAAACGATTAAAATATATGTTTTATTATAATAAACTACCTGATGAAGTAAATTCTGTAGCTTACCGTAATACCATTTTTGAATCGAAGCGAGGGTGAGGGCGTCTTGCACATAAAAAAAGTCGACGACAACTATAGAAACGACAACCGTAATTGGGCTGATTTTAAAATTTTATTAAATTTTTATTTATATTATAACGTTTATTGTTCCTTCCTATTACTAAACATAGAGCTGCAACGGGGAAGATTTCTCAAAGACTCCTGCATCTCCTTAATAAATATAAACTCTATGCTTCAGCCCATGGTAGAATAATAAAGGTAAAAGCAAGTGCTGTTGTACAACAATCGTAACAACAACCACATACAAAATTGTTTTTGTACATAATACAAGTGTCAGAGTTATGTGTCTAAAAATGTAAACAAAATAATTAATTTTCAATAAATTATTTTAATTTCAAAAATATACATTTTAGAAATTTGGATTATTAAATTGAAAATGCAGAAGAATAGTTCTTAAAATATTTAATTTTAATGCTTTCACATCATTCCCCTGGATGTATAGTTGTTAGCTGTTGGTCCTAATTTCTCAACACTTCAAGCAATCGCTAGAAAATCGCGGAAAAGGCAACATTCCTTTCAAGTTGAAGCCAAACGGCATACATACATAAAGTATTCTACATTTTGCAATTTTACGAAACATGAAATATACGAATATATTATCTAACGTGGTGTCGCTGTTCCTTAACCGCATAAAAAGTTTCCGAACCATCGCCTTTGGCGTTTTGTTAAGTACAACGCCGATTTTTTCTATTGTAAGGCAAACAAGTACAAAAACATTAAGTTCGGCCGGGCCAAACTTTTAATACCCTCCACCTGTGGGTAAAGGAAACATTAGAAGAAATGTGGCAAAAACCATTAAAATGCCGAATATGGGGAGTTATCGTTATATGGGGGCTATACCAAATCGTGGACCTACACATGCAATGTTTCGCCAACGGAGCTAGAACCCATTATGACCTACAAATACCAATTTTCAGACAAATACGTGAAAAAATGTGGCAAAAATCATCAAATTACCGAATATCGGGAGGTACCGTTATATGGGAGCTATACCAAAACGTGGACCTATAATTGCAATGACTCGCCACACGAACTGGGACCCATTATGATCTACAACTACCAATTTTCAGAGAAATTCGTGAAAAAATGTGTCAAAAATCATCAAAATACCGAATATTGGGAGGTACCGTTATATGGGGACTATACCAAAACGTGGACCTATACATACAATTTTTCGTCACACGAACTATGACCCATTATGACCCACAAATACCAATTTTTAGACAAATCAGTGAAAAAATGTGGCCAAAACCATAAAAATACCGAATATGTGAGGAACAGTTATATGGGGGCTATAACAAAACGTGGACCTATACATGCAATGTTTTGGCACACGTACAGGGACCCGTTGTGACCTACAAATACCAATTTGTGGCATAAATCATCAAAATACCGAGTATCGGGAGGTACCGTTATAAGGGGGCTATAACAGAACATGGACCAATATACCAATATATTTTCGATACCAACCATCATAGACACAATACAAATTGCTCTGCTAAATTTTGGCGCTCTACGTCAAATAATTTGGGCTGTATCGTGATTTCAATATCGTTAAATCGACTTAGAATTTTATGCTGATTATGAATATATATACTTTATGGGGTCTACGACGAATATTTAAGGATGTTACAAATGGAATGACAAAGTTAATATACCCTCCTTTCCAAGGTGGAGGGTATAAAAATATGTTCACGTTGCCCTGCAATTTTACATCAAACAAGTAAAAAAGCAGTAAGTTCGGCCGGGCCGAACTTTGAATTCCCTTCACCATTTGGAACGAATTAGAAATTTTTCAAAAAAATAAAATCCATTAATTTTTTTTAAATCTTTACAATATCTAATATAGGAAGGTGCCGATATATAGGGATGTATATGATATTGTGGACCTATTAAGACAAATCTATGTCTGGGTGTAAAGTACTCACAAGGAACTCGTTGTGCGGATTTTCAGACCATTCCATTGGAAAATGTGCCTAAAATCGTCAAAATCCCGAATGTCGGGGGATACCGTTATATGGGGTTTATACGATACTTTGGACCTATATAGACAATTCCCTTTCAGGGGGTAAAGTGCTCACAAGGAACCCCTTGTGTAGAATTTTAGACAATTCCGTCGAAAAATGCGGCTAAAATCATCAAAATACAGAATGTCGGGGGGGGGGGGGGGGGGTGGTGTTCCGTTATATGGGGGCTATACGATATCGTGGACCTATATAGATAAGTCTTCACAAAGAAGTACTCACAAAGAACTCCTCGTGTGGATTTTTATACAATTCCATTAGAAAATGTGGCTAAAATCATCAAAATATCGAATATCGGGGGGTACCCTTATTTGGGGGCTATACGATATCGTGGACCTATATAGATAATTCTCTGCCAAGAGATAAAGTGCTCTTAGAGAACTGCTTGTGTGGATTTTCATATAATTCCATTGAAAAATATGGCTAAAATCATCAAAATATCGGATATCGGGGGTTACCGTTATATGGTTGCTATACGATATCGTGGACCGATATAGCCCATCGGACAGACGGACGGACAGGGCTAAATCGTCTTAGAATTTTACGCTGATCAAGAATATATATATACTTTATTGGGTCTAAAATGATTATTTCCGTGAGTTACAAACGGAATGACGAAGTTAATATACCCTCCATACTATGTACGGTGGAGGGTATAAAAAGGGTATACCTATTGTATTCCAAGAAACGGAATTAAATAACCAAACGTCATATCCAGTTTGACACTGGTATTACTATAGAGTCAAATCAGCTGGGACTTGCTGTTACCTGTAATAATTATACCATGGCTTCAGCCTAAGGGAAATCAGGTGAATTCCCACAAATTCTTGAGGTATTAGTCTAAATTAATAATTAACTTGAGAATTTGGTTTATAGTGAACTGTGTCCTTGTCAAAAACTTTCCCTGAACAAAGGACAAAATTGAGAAGTCTTTGCGTCTCATGAGAGTTTCTAAACTATTCGGCCCTATTATCGGTTGTCATCGTCGTCGCAAAATGACATCGAGGCGACAATAATGGTATTGGGGTTGTCGCTTTTTTGTCGATAGCGATTAATGATTGCTATTATCATTGTCGATACAAGAGTCGACATGAAGTCGTTTTTAATTCGACGTTGATATTTTAACCATTTTGTATTTGACATTTGATCATGAAAATAACAACAGCAAAACAATTTGGAAATATAGAAGTCATTTCCGACATTGGTCTACTTGTAAAAACTCTTTGATTTTTCAATTTTTTCCAGGGGTAGGTATTTTGTAGCGAAGTAATCCTTTATAGATATATAGTACATGATTTTAAAAAGAAGTGTTGACCTTTCATTCAGTTATCGCGGTTTTCAATTATTTATTCAAAATAAATGCAACAAGTTGTTTGACTTTTTTATTGTTTTGATACTAATTCTGACTTTACAAGCCAAACAGGTAGACCTCTATACTTGCAATTTTTCAAACTTGACCTACCTCCTCTTCATTGTACCTATATTGCTTATGAAAATACCTATCCACATTATGGGACCGAAGGCCGGCTACTTACAACCGATAAATTTAGAAAACTTTAGTTCTCGTAGCCGGTTGAACCATGGTACAATGAAGACAAGATAGGCTAACTTTGAAAAAATTACAAGTATAGAGGTCTACCTGTTTGGCTTGTAATGTCAGAATTAGTATCAAAACAATAAAAAAGAAAACAACTTTTTGCATTGATTTTGAATAAATGATTTAAAACCGCGAAAACTGAATGAAAGGTCAAAATTGCTTTTCAAAATCATGTTCAATATATCTCTTATGGTTTATTCGCGACAAAAACTGTTGATTTTGTCGATGCATACGTTGCAATAAGCATTTTGAAAACACCCGAATTTGAATATTTTCTGAACATTTTTTTTATTATTGAAAATAATACACACACATAAACAAATGAAGTTGACATATTAAGCCAAAAAAATATGGTACTTCTGCCCTACCTTGAATTCATTGTACTATGGGTTGAATATACCCAGAAAAGAATATCTCTGGACCCCGAAAAGGTATTAGCACAAATTGTAGCATTTTGGAAATGTAAGAGTGACAACTATAATTTAGCATCAATTTTGTTGACCCAATATTTGGGACCCTTTTCGACTTTTTGAGGGTTTTCCACATCCAAAATTTGACTATAACTTCCGAACCTTTTTAAATAACCACTTCATAATATATTGGGTAAGTGGATCCGGGTCTTGGACCCGGACTATCGTTTTAAAAAAGAATAGTAGCCTGAAATCCGGTTAAAATACCTAGCACTGGAAAGAAATTCAAAAACAATTGAAGAGTTTTTACTGAAGTG